TTCACCACCAATACACTGAATTATGAAATATGAACCAAAGTGAATTATTATGTGCCAAAGACATCATCAGATATCCATTCTATCAACACTGCATTTTGAATAGGCCAACAAGCAGAAGATACAGATCAATCCAAGTGTTTGTGTTTTACTGCTGTTATTAAGGTGTAATCAAGGTCTGCTTTTCATGGGGATATTAATCACACCTCGCAGTCTTCATCAGCAGATGTAGTTCGCTCAGTTGTTCTAATAAGTTCTACACTCTCCAGAAAACAAACTTGTATTCTTTCTTTCTTTCTTTCTTTCCCCTTCTCTTTCAAATAATGCCCCAGATATCATCTTCTGAAAAGAAAGAAAGATCATTCTGGTCTTTTCAAAACAGTTTTTGGTTACACAATTTGACACTTTTCCTCACCAATTTCTACTAACAGTTAAAGTAACTATCAAGATTGACAGTCACTCAAGTCACATGCTGATGGGTCAGTAATTGAGCTATACATAATTATAGCTCATTATCAGGGTGCAATTGTATACAAATACACCAAATCTTAAATGTCTAAGTAGCTCAAAACCATGTTATTCACATCTGCTGGATAAGAACACGATAAGATTTAAATGAAAGCGTTGATTTCCTGCACACTGTCAGCACTATGATTATTGATACTGCACCGTCTCTGTTACCTCTGTCAGGCATCACATTCCTGATATGAAACAACTCCTCAATGCTAAAGCCACAGGCTGCATTTGAGTAGATGTGCTGACACTGTGCTAAAAAGAAAAAGTATTTGTTACTGAAATTAGTTTGGAAGTATCAAGGATGAGCCTGTAGGCAGTTGTGGAAAGTATATCTACGCAAGTACTGTACTTATTACACATTTTAGGTGCTTGTATTTTACTTTTAAGGCTTACACCACTACATTCAGAAATAAATATTATAATTTGTACTCATTTTATGAACCAGCTTTATTTACAATTTCAGATTTGTTCACACTGAGAGAAAATTAATTGCAATTTTTTTTTATTGTTCATAAGATTTTTGAAGCAGAATTATTTAATATATTAAGATATTCATTGCTATCGGGATGTTAAGAGCATTCCATGGAATATAACAAAAAGTGTATCTCAAGCCGGTTTCTCAAACTTACCTACCCCACCTTTAATTTGAATGCGAGATAGGATATAAATACTTCCTCGCACTGCCTGTGTTTACATGATGATCCTTTTGGGGGAAAAAACCCATCAGTTTAAATGATTTGCTAAAAAGATAGCTGCTGAAACAGATACATTTTGACTTTAGTGTAACAGTAAATGAGCATACTTATATACTGTATAAGCTGTAAATGCAAAAACCAGGCCAAGTTGGTAACATCACAGCTGAACGTGTGTGTGAGAGAGAGAGAGAGAGAGAGAGCGAGACAGCATGTGTACCAGAGTGTGTGTGTGTGTGTGGCTCTATCACCGTCTCCTCTCTCCACCACAGACAGGTGATTAATAAACATTAAACAATCCCTCCTCTCTCAAACACACCGGAATCTGACGGGAAGAGCAGCATATGTTTGCCTGCAGGCTCACGGAGAGATGGAGAGCGGCCCCGCTGAGTGTCAGATAGAGGGAGAGAATGGGGGGGGGGGGGGGGGGGGAGGAGGGGGGAGTTAGGTTACAGAGTGGGAGATGAAGGAAGGGGGGGGGGGGGGGTAATGAGATGGGAGGAGAGAAAGGGAGATATAGGCATAGGTAAGAAATGAGTGATGTTTGAGAGCGTGTACGAGCAGGCGACACGTGTATGTGTGCAGTCCCTGGAAAGCAGTAATTGCATTGAGTATCTCGTTCCTGGTTAAATAAAGTGAAGGACTGTGGAGGGTGGGGGGGGGGGCGAGAGGTGTTCTGTGGGAGAAAAACGTTGAACAGATGGATGGAGGGGGGGGGGGGGGAGCCGAGGTGTGTTGAGGCTTGTTGGGCGCTGGGGGTCGCACCGCTGCCTCCTCTCTCCCAGGTACAGTGTTCAGTGTTCAGGGCTGCAGCTGTGACGCCGCCCCCCCCCCCCCCCCCCCCCCCCCCCCCCCCCCCCCCTCCCAGCCCCTGCTGGAGCCCTGCATGCAATAGAGGGGCCCTGATTTCTCTCTCCTTTGAGTGGCCCCTTGGGGTGCACACAGAAATGTGTCCATGGCCTTTAAATCCGGAAAGCCTCAGCCCATGCGTTTCACACATACTAAGAGAATTAGTCAATTAATTGATTATAGTTTGACAGAAAATGAAGCAATATTTTGTGATGTAATGAGGGTCATTTATCAAGCTATAAGACTCAGAGTCTGCAGACAATTTAGCGGCTTTGTGACGCTTTCAGGCGGCGCTAAAAACCAATGGCTGTGAAAAAGAACGAAAGGCCCTTCAAGAACCAGAATGTGATCCTTCTGGGCTACTGTAAATGTATGGTTGGCTTTGTGGGAGGCCCTTGGGGAAAAGCGCCAGGCATCGCAGCTCATTTTCATAGTGGCCTGTGGGATTGCAACCTTTGGGTCAGTCACATGATGCTATTGGAGTCAGAAAGACATTGGGGAAGAGATCAGTGATGATATGAAGCCTGAGCTGTTGGACACTAGTGCACCTGCCCTTTATGACCCATTGATAGTAAAAAATGCAGGTGATTTTATTCTAAGAACTGTTTTGGCTTCACCGTTAACTTTCATAGGAAGGAGGAGTGACGCTCTGCAATGCTTTTCATTGTCTATACATCCATAATACAGATATGAATAACTCCTTGAAAGTTTAGACAGCTATTCTTAGTTTCAGGTGATTGAATTTTAATGAAAATATAGTTATCAATATTATATCCCATTTCTGCAAATAGAGACCCCTGAATAATACAGAGCTTTAAGCTTTGAGCTAAATGCTGACGTCAGCATGCTTTGCCGATGGTAAGCCTGTATTCTGTGTTTTCATTTTCTCTTTGGCAAAAACACAAATAAAAGCTGAAATGGATTGGAACATTTTTAAACATAACAAAGTATTGGATAAATTAATCTACAGATCTACAAATGTCATGCTCGTAGTACTGCTGGGCGAGAAGTCATAGAACCACGGAAGTCTTTTGGGTATATCCAGTGGTATAAAGTAATTACATTTCCTCAAGTAGTGTAACTTAAATACAATGTTTAGGTACTTGTAATTTTCTTGAGTATTTCCATTTTATGCTACTTTGTACTTATTCTCCTCTACAATTCAGAGGTAAATTGTGTACTTTTACTCCACTACATGTATTGAATACCTTTAGTTACTTTACAGATTTGGATTAATAATGTGAAATATAATCAACACTTAAATCAGACTACCCTGCAGTGTACAACGTCATTAAAACTAGCTGCACCTTTACCAGCTGTGATAACACTTTAATGCCTCAATATTTATAATCAAAACATATGGACCAATCTGCATAATGAGTACTTTACTTTTGGTACTTTAAGTCTATTTAGATGCCAATATTTTTCTACTTTTACTTGAGTAACCTTTTGAATGCAGGACTTTTACTTGTAACAGAGTATTCCTACACTCTGGTACTTATACTTATACTTAAGTACAAGATCTGAGTACTTTTTCCACCTCTGGGTATATCCTCTGGGCAACATGAATGTCACAAATCTTTGTACAAATCCATAAAGAAGATGCTGAGAAATGTCATGCGATAGGTAACACTTTGACCTGCTGATGGCAGATTGAAGAACATTCAGTAGGATTCATCTTCAGGGGAACATGACTGTCAAAGGTTAATCAAAATCCTTGTGATATTTGTTAAGAAATGTCGTTCTGGATCAAAGGGGTGGAACGACCGATATTGACATCCCTGCTTTTTTCTGTTTAAATCACAAGGAATTGTTTACATATATATTTGTTACTGTTGGTCATGTGACACAAAATGAAGACTCGAGGCTTGTTGGAAACTGTGACGGACATTTGTCACCACTTTCTGACATGTTATAGACAAAGCAATTAACCTAGAAAAAAAGCGACACATCAATCAATAATGAAATGAAATGTTATCTGCAGCTCTCGCTCTGACCTCTCTGTTGAAGTCACAAAAGACTTTGCCTACAGGGATCAATAAAAAATATCATTATTGCGACAAATGGAAAGAGGAAGCATTTAATGCGAGCACAATAAAAGACCATTGTCACGTTTGGATTTAAAGGAAGTTGAAGTGAGCAGTTGCATTTATGTTCTTAAAGGTGCCATTATTTTTTATGTTTCTGATACCCAGATGAAAACATACAAACCCAGTCGTGAAACTAAACCGATCAGTTCTTAATTCTTTAATAATATATTACATTTATGCAGTAATACAATAATAATAACAACAGTAATAACATTAATAATAAACATACACAGAAAGTACAAAATGATTTGTGTTCTTTTTCTTAAGTTACCAACACGTAGTACTTCAAAATAAAAGTAACCAATTCTCCTTTAGCTGCCTTTGTCTCCTCCTTACTGTTAGAGAACCCGGAGAACTCGATTTCCCATGACCACCCAGGAAGAAGAACTACATATGTCCAATCAGGTGGAGTTAAAAGTCTCCCAGAGTTCAAAAGGAGCAAAGAGCAGGTTGTTGTCTCGGATATGGCTTTACGACACTTCCCAGATGAGTTCAGTCCAAAGAAATGTGTATAAGTGTGTGTGTGACTGATGAAGGCAGGGGCTTCTAAAACGTAGACATGTTTACCAAAAAAAAGGGGGGGGGGGGGGGGGGGGGAAATAAATACAGCCGAATGTAGAAACTCATCCTGAAGAGGTGTTTTGTAGACGCCATCGTGACACAAACCAGCTACTGAGAAGAGAGGTCCATGCGCCGTGTTGAGTGAGGTGGACACACATTACAGTACAGATATCATCAAGACCCCCACCTCCTCGTCCAGGGGCCCGCAGAGGTTCTTCTGGGAGGTCAAAGTCTCAGTTTTTTTTCCTGAGGGCGAAGGTAAAGACCCAGAGGGGGTAATGGTCAGTCTTTCTCCCCTCTTTCTCTCGTCCTTTCCGCCTCTCACCCTCCATCACCGTCCTCCCTCTATTTGCGGTGCTTCATCTCCTTTTCGTGGTGGCTCTTTCCTCCTCCCTCTCCTTTTTCCAGCATTTTGATGGCCTCCATCAGGTAGCTCTGGAAGGCGGAGAGGGCGGCGCAGATGGCGGGGGTCCCAAAGCCGTGGGTGAGCAGGCTGAAGTGGGTGAGGCTGCCCTGGACGCCGGGCTCCAGGCAGGGGGTGGGCCGACTGCCGCCCAGCGGGGAGCGGTCCTGGGACATCATGTCCACAAACTCCTTACAGACCTCCCTGAGAGGAACACAGGCGAGACGTTGGTTACTTCATCTGTATTCATTTCCACATTTCCACATTTGATTCAGTTTAAGTCTTATTTAATGGTTTTTAAAAAAGTACAGTTCTCAACATTTTCGATCAATGCCAAGCCAGCACACTTTTAGGGTTGGATGTACTCTGATTAAAACCTGTATTAAGTGCCTCAGTAAAAATGTTATTCCCTCAACAGGCTACTGGAGTTTAGTGTACTTAGATAATTCCAACTTTTTAAAGGGGGATATAAATAACCTGATAGACCTGAAACATTTAAATATAGTTTTGTGCCCCTGACTATTGGTATATTTGTACCTACTGTAAATGAGTTCACCATATAGCTATGGATCTGTGTGACTTGGTTAGATTAGATTAGAAGCATTTATTGTCATTATACATGTACAATCAAAAAAGAGTATCTAGCTCTACTGATAAAAACTCTTAAAGACAGTCTTTTAGAATAAAAAAAGATTTCGACCTATCTGTGATGCTATAAAATATTAATATGATGCTGTAAAAATGAAAGGAGAGTGAATCCAGTATGTTTCAGTGCCAGTTTTGAAGTGTCAAATAAAGTAGGAAAAAACAACACTTTATTTGGCTTGTTGAATTGTTTGAATAATTTGACTTCTTAGTGAGGATAAAGCTCCAAAACAGTGGATCCTACACTTCCCATAATGCACTTAATGTAGTATTTTGTTAAACCCTCCCTATCTGTTTAATACACATCATTTAAACTCCATGCCCCTTGGTTTGTAACACATGTATTATGCTGTTAAATGTGCAGTCTCCAAGCCCCACTGACAAAACTCCTAGCCTTCCCCATCAACAGTAAATTGACATGTAAAATCAGTGGAGGGCCCCTTTAAAATGTACAGTCTGGGGGGGGGGGGGGGGGGGGGGGAGATCACTCACTTGGTGGCGAGCAGCATGCTGCGGCGTGTTGGGAGCTGGTCTGGCTCGCTCTGCCTGCACAGATACTCCGCTGTGGCTCTGGCTGGAAACTCTGTCTCACACACGTAACCAAAGTCCCGCGCCAGATGGACGGCCTCACCTGAGGGGGGGGGGGGGGGGGGGGGGGGGGGGGAGGAGAGGGAGGAGGAGAGTGAGAGTGAGAGTGTGTCTAACCAGTACAAAAAAAGGGGATATTATTCTGCATCAGTGAGACAAAAAGGCAGCTTCAGCTTCTGTGTGTTTTCAAGAGCCAAATGTCAGCGCTCCAGTTTAGATTTAATGTCAGATAAATTATCCATTTATATGCTTTGTGAATGATTCCTATTTACTGCTGTAGCGGCTCGGGGGTCGGGTCAGGTCAGGGGATAAACTCTGCAGCCATTCTTCTCACTTTCACCACTCAAACAGTTCACTGCTCTTTGGCTTTGTGAGGCGGCCGCGGCTTTTTCAAGTGACACCATCCGTGCATCCAGCCAGCCACGCTACGGCTTGTTTATTCATGTCTGCTCATGCGAGGAGATTTTCTATGTGAATATGTGTCTCTATCTGTCAGGATATATGCAGGTCACTGTATGTATTTGTGTGTGTGTATATGTGTGTGTGTGTGTGTTTGTCCCTACCCTCCACTAGAGATGTTAGCAGAGTGACGTTGGCGGCCTTGCGTCGCCCGGCGGGCAGGTTGAGGCCAATCTTCTCCAGACGCTCTCTCAGACAGCGGCCACCATTCTTTGACTTCGCCCTGAGGGGGGACAGGGAGACAGAGAGAGCATTTTTTTAGAAGATGGTCCTTCTATGTGTTTGTGTGTGCCTGGATGTGCCTGTGTGCATGCATTTGTGCATGTGCGTGTTTATGTAATTGAATGTGAAGCTGAAATCTCCCTACAGTATGTTCCCTGTCAACACTGATAGGATCTTGTATTTCCCTGTTTTTAGTCGTTACTCTTGCCTGTTCTCAACACTTTATTTATTCTTTAATACCTACATTTAAGAACATTTAAATATGTATTTATGTATATATTAGGCAGCAGTTTCAAAGGAAGTATTCAGAGCCTCTACTTAAGTAAAAGCAGTATAGTGTCCAAATATATCATGCTTTAACTGTAGTAAAAAAACAGATTAACAGACAAATGTTTTTTAAATATCCAAAGATAAATGAATTGTTATGTAGAAAACAGCCGCTGTGAATGATACTGTATATTTTTACATTAGTTGACAAAAACATTTGGTGTATTAGTGTGTAAGTAGCATTGTACTGTTGTAAGCTAATTCTTACTTCATATACTATTGAGTCTTTAATTTATTGTATTTTACTATAAAAATCTTGATTTCCGTATTTTCCATCTGAAATGCAGTCAAGTATAAACAAAACAAAAACATATATAGTTAAGTACCTAAAAATAATAGTGATTTGTTATCAGGGGTCGCTGTATCTCTCAGCTGAGGGGGTTGACGAGTGACTACCCTTTAGATCTTTTAATTATGTCCTTTTAAAGTATTTCTGCCTGCAACCCAAATCATAAAGTTGTTTTCTGGCCCCGAGGCCGTGGCTCATTAAACCACATTGCTCCTCTTGTGATTCAGTCCCATGACCCATTTTAGGTCCTCAGCTCTGGGCCTATGGTGAAGTGAACGTGCTCTGATTCTGAAGAGAGTACATGCTGGAGAGCAGAGGATGTACTGTAATCTTCACTAACTAACCCAGTGTGAAGAAGCAGCTTGAGGCCTATGCTTAAAGGTACAATGTGTAGTATTTCCAATGTATCTTTGCACTAATGCTATTGTTACACTTGTAAATGGCATTAAATAAAGAAAGTAAGCGCTTTGTCAGCTTCCATCTCTTCCCTGCTGGGTCGTCTGTGCGATAGAGTGAAGGCTTAATAAACGCTGGCTTGTTCTTTTCTTTGACTTATACCAAAAAGGATAATACCTCCCCAGAATCTGAACGCTTGTTCTTTTCACCTAAAGAACAACACAGCTATCATAAAGGAGCACTTTCTTTTTATAGGAGCGCTATAAAACATCCAATTTAAAATGCAATGTAAAAGCTGCCCCTATCCTAGCATTTTTTTATAATTATGAGTGAGTCTTTTAATCTGAAATACATCAGGAATTTGCGAGTTAACCCATCAAAGAAATTACAGAATAAAATGAGTAAAATAAGAAGTAATTGAATTTTGAATTCTGTCAGTTATTTACAGGACTAAGAAACACCATTAGAAATTAAATTGGCAGCAAACTGTAACAGCTGTTTGTATCCAAAGACATTGGTTATCATTGCATATGGTGTATGTGTCTTAGACAGTTAGAGGACAGAGTTTAAATGTTCACACTTTTAGAGGTAAACATGTAAGATGAATCAGACAAGGGTGTGAATCAATGGTAAAGGGTATGTGTTTGTCATTAAGCATTAAAGAACACCATTTTGACTCTGACCCTCCAAAAAACGACTCCACCCCCCCCCACTTTATTCCCCATCCCCCTCTCACCTGCGGAGGACTCCACCCAGCAGAGAGGCGTTGAGGCACTCCGGGGGGGAGAGGCGTCGCTGCACCTCCCCGACCGTCACCTTGTACTTGGACGTGGAGCTGAGCAGCGAGAGGCGACCCGGGACCGAACAGAAGACCTCCGCTGGGTTGGACACGGACCCCATACCCAGACCCTCCTTACAGAGGGACAGGGCGTGCATGCCATTCAACTTCGATGGCATGGGAACTGAGAGAGGAGAAGAAACGTTTAATTGCATTCAAACATGTACACTTTTCCACTTTATTGTGTGTCAAACCAAGGCTGCAGGAAGTTCACCAGCAACAAAAGCAAGATGCAAAGTGCAAGAAAAAGAGCTGAAGGATGAATAAAGATCATTAAAACATATGTGTTCAGCAGAGACAATGGTGTTGTGTGAATGACAGCGTGCCCCCCCCCTCTCATTAATCTATGCAGTGTCATGTTGTCCCCTGCGTCGGCAGCTCTAATTCTGGAGCGCTGCTTGTTGATTCTGTTGCTTAAACTGCAGGTGGTTACATTTGAGTCGCACGATCGCACATAGCCTCACTTCACACCTTCAAGAGCTCAGTTCACACTCACTTTTCTGCACTGTGGTAAACTTTTATGATGAGTTTTACTGTCTGTTTTCTTTTGGAAGAGGAGGAGGGGGTGTCAGGCAATCATATGAATACTTTTCTAGCCACTTTGGGAGTTTAGAGGGGTAACATGTCGTTTTTATGAAGCATCTCCTTGATTTGATGTTTTGTACTTCCTAGTAATGTTGGCATTTACAACCACAGTTTGTATGGGGGTTTTCAACCTTTGTTATATCATCTTTTAAAGGTGTTAATTGGTGGTGTTAAAATCATCTCTGTAATGTAGCATTTTAATTCCTGAATCCGCTAAATCTGCAGGTGTGTGGGCAGAAATCCTCTAAATGAACCGGATTAGAAGAAATTAGCCCCTTTGTGTGTGTGTGCTGATCTTCTTATGAGGACCACATTTTCTCACAAGCATAAGATGAAGTCGGTCTGTACCGCATTGGTTAAAGGTGTTTTTTTAAACGTCTTTTGGGGTTTATAGTCCTCAAAACATCTGTTTCTCCAGCCATGCAGATACATTTAGTTATATATGCCCAGGTTTTGACTATAGCCAATGTCTAAAATCTCTGCTTCCGCCCCAAAACAATGGAGGTGAATGTTCGAAAATACCCCCCAAAATGTCTGTAAAGAGTTTTCATTGGGACTACTTTTGGCAGACTATAGTGGGAACAGTTTACAGGTCATTCTGTGGTTAATTGGAAAACTCTATTTGGGAAAAAATACTTGCTGTTGCATATTTTGACTATGATTTTTCAATGCTGTAAGCACCAGCCCATTGACCTCCATTGTATTGCTGTGGAGGCAGAAACCCGGACAACCTTTGACAAATTAAACCAAAACTATCAGCATGACTGAAAACAACAAAATGCAAAGGAAAGAAATACAAAATATACAAGAGAATTCAAATGTATTGTTTTTAGAGATCGACAGAGGTTCATGTGATTTGTGTTAGTTAAGGTGTCAAATAAGCCAATAAAGGTTCCTGTAATTACTTAGAACTTATGTTTACAAGAATATGCAACTTGTATCTTTGCATCAGTGGTGACTTCAATCCTGATGGCTCTGCAGGTTTCCTATAGGTCTCTCTTTGAGTATATCTTTACCACTGTACAGTATGGGGCTGTCCCCTCGCTCTGTGTGGGCGGCGGGTGGTCTCTCTGCGAGGCCCTGCTGTGCAGCGCAGCCTGAAAATCCTCTCATTCACAAGCAGCCGGCGAGGCCACAGAGTTCCCTCTCTTTCTCCTTTGTCATCTCTCCGCCCCTCCCTCTCTTTCTCTTATCATATTTTGACTCTTTCTTGTGCCTCCCACTCTTTATCTCCCCCCTCTCTTTTCCCATACTCTGTCTCGTTTCTCCTCTCCCTGTTGAGTTTTTTCGTATTCATGAGGGCTTTAGGTTTGCTCTGCTATCTGCTGCTCTGCCGTGGAGAGTCTCGCTGTGGTAATTGATCAATTCGAAGCGTTTGGCAAACAAGTGGAATCACTGCCACTTCCTCAGATGAGTGCTGGTTTGCAGCCGTTTGAATCCAGCTACACGTGTACAGTAAGAGCTTCCCGTTCCTCAGGGACGCCATCTGGAGAATTAAACCCTTTTTTTGTGAGAACTTGACGACATGGAGAGGTAAGGCATTGGGATATTTAGATTCAGGAGGCCGAAATGCATTACACATGTGGCTGGGTGTTTTTAAATCCACATGTATTCTCTAACATCAGAGCCTCAAGGATGTTAACGCTTTATTTGTCAGCAAAAACACTTCATATTATGTTGTCAGTCATCTATAACACACTGGGTGTCATCTTTAGTGGGGTTTTTTTTTGCTGCAGCACTACACACCCAAACAGGCCCGTCTATCATATCAGTTTAGGTTTTTTTTCTTGCCCGAGAAAGGATTTCACAGTATCTTACGACTCCACCGGCAACAAATTCAACTTGAGTTTTCTAATCGTGCCCCTGTGTCTCCTGCAACTAACTCACAGTCGGTAATATTAGAGTGATCACACTCTGCACATTTCCCCACAACTCCTCTTTTATCATGTTCCCCTCCCTTTTCTTCTTTGCCCCACTTCTCTTCTCCTCTTCACTCTAATCCCTCTCTCTCTCTCTCACACACACACACACACATACACTCTCTCATATGACCATGAACAGTTCATTAAGAATGTGTGCCTTTGGGGTGAAGTCTGCAGCTGAGTATTAGAGGACTTCTTGACTTCAAATGAAATAGCAAAACAGAATTATTTATAGTGTGTGTGTGTGTGTGTGTGTGTGTGTGTGTGTGTGTGTGTGTGTGTGTGTGTGTGGCAGCAAGAGAAACTGGTGTTGGAGTGCCCCTAAACACAAAACCCCCTTCAGCATGTATAGCACAATTATATAGGTGCACACTTACACACTTACACACACACACACACACACACACACACACACACACACACACACACACACACACACACACACACACACACACACACACACACACACACACACACACACACACACACACACACACACACACACACACACACACCACACACACACACACACAAACACACACACACCTCTTACCTTTTTTAATGACAGAGTGGTCGAGGATGCCCAGGGCTGATCCTTCCTCCATTCCCTGTGTCAGACAGACAGACAGTCACTATCATTTATCCACTGGCCTCAACACACACACATTTTATATACACACATTTATATACACACACATAGAGCTTTTCTCTCAGGCCAAAGCAAGATGGACGGTCCAATGTTAGGTTTTCTCCCTTGAAGCACATATGAACAACTATCCATATGCGGGTAAATAATGCACTCTGTTACTCTTATTGGATTTAGCTTCTTCGTGCAGAATGGAAAGATGGTAAATGATGGGAGTTATGACGGATGATTTTAAAGAGTTCATCATTCTGCACAGCTTGACATCAAATGATTTGTTGTACCTTAAATGTTTAAAATGTTTTTTAATGTAATGTTTTTAGCTAAGTTTTTGATTTACAGTCTATTTTTTATCAGAAAAGTTGCCTTATGTAATCCATTATTTACTTAAAACACAATTAAATGAAAGAAATGCTGTCATCATTTTTAACAAAAAATTGCATATATTTTGTATCTCTCTCTATATAATTGTATCTATATTATTTTTAATAGAAATTGTAAAATTCCCATATCTAAAGTTACATTGCTCTCCATTTCTCTGAACATATAAATCATTTTGAGAAAGACTAATAGAAAAGAAGAAATAAAGTATTTTAAAACGGCCACATTAGCTAGCCAATTGAAAGAATAAATTAAATAGTCGCAGATTATTTGATCTTTTCATTCACTGAGGATGAAATTGTCTTGCAAGGCGATTCTCGGATGTCTCCTTTGTGGTGAATTTATAAGAGGATTCAAACGCGAAGGATATAATCCATTAATCAAATAAAAGGTCCTTGTCAAGTGGGAGCGTTTAACAGAAACATGCCCGGGTTGACTCCTTGCCTGGCGCTCGTCTCAGACGTTTCTTTTCTATTAATGACCGTGCACATCAATTGGTCTCGCTGTGTTTCTCTGCGAGGAGGCAACAAACAGCGTCTGCAGCTGCACCTGCTGCAGGGAAGCTGACTGCTCAATAAACCATAGAAACTATTCTTCTAAAAAAAAAAAAACTGCAGAAGGCAAGAGGACTGCAGGATCACTTTCTTTGTGCGAGACATCGGAGAATACTGCATGAATGTCCTGATGAATATTAAGACGGGCGGGTGTCAACCCACACAAAACCCACGTTTCTGGAATTAAATATTTTACAATCTGAGAAAAGTATTAGATATTTGTATTAATTCTAAAGCTTTACATTCCCACTGCTGTATATGAACAATATCAATTCCAATCATTGAGATCAACTTCAGCGTTACATTTGAGATAAACTCGAGACACATGTCAGTCTCAAAACGACGAAATAAAAAACGTATTCAACAGGCCAACCAAAATGTACATTTTAACAAATTGAGGATAGCTGTGAAATATTATTTTGTATTCATTATTGAACGAATTTTGAATAACAAATTGAGCATTTAAGCTGATATTGTTGTAGAAATGTATATTTCAGACCTGGAAGCAGTACATGTTTTAGTTGAGTGTTTTAGTCTTTTGTAGGCAATGCCACGCACAACTGGTTTCATTCTTATTTTGATATAAGACACCAAAACTGCTCATCTGAATTTGTATTGAAATTTCAGCTAAAATAAGCTATAACAGGATGTTTTAATATAAATAAATATACATAACAGGTTAAACATTTTTAGATGAATTAAAAATAAATAATAACATGTTGTAGTCCTTAATTAAATGTGTTGACTTAAAATCTAATTGATTAATGGGAGCTATTTCATCATGATTTGTGTCGTTTGAAGGAAATGGAGGATAAATTGCCTTAAGGGCCTGTTGCAATCATCCTCATCTTTTTAAGTAATATGGACATTTTTGCACTTTTTGTCTTTGATATTAGCTTTTTTGAAGATATTAAAATTGTAAAAATAATGAATCAAAGAGGCCCACATTTCGTTTTGCGCACTAGTGTGACTTTTACGCACGGCCTTTTCCAGTGCGCAAAGCTAACGCAACCAAAGAGTGTTTCGCCAAATTAAACATATGAACTCACCTGCAGATCATCCAGGCCGTGGTGTCCCATGTGCATGCCGAGGGGACCGTCCCCCAGAGCCGCAGCTCCTTCCCCGAGCCCGTGCAGCAGCCGGGGCACAGCTGCGTACTCCCGCCGGGGGTCGAGGCTCAAAGCCCGGTGCGACTGTGAAAGGAGCCCCCCGTCGTCGGAGCGCGACCTCTGCGAGTGCCATGCCACTTGCTGATGCTGATGGATGGAGTTGATGGAGGTGTAGGGGTCTGACAGGTGGGCATATGAGTCCTGGCTCTGGGAGTATGGCAGGGAGGACTGGGGGTAGGGGGGAGGGAAGTACGGAGGCTGGAAGTCAGAGGCCGGAGTGTGGCAGAGCGGGGGAGCCGAGGAGTACCCGGCCTGGTTCAGGGAGGACAGCTGGGAGAGACGGCCGCTCGGAGAAGAGCCGCTTAGTCCGTCCGCGCGCTCCTGCAGGGAATAACAAAAAGTTAGCTTCATATCAGGAGCCCAAAGTCATTCAAGTGTCCCCTTAAAATGCCACACGGGACTAAGTGTTCCATCTGTCAGAGAGATTACAATACTTAACGCATACATGGATAAAATAAACAACGTTTTTAATTTAAATGTAACATAAATCAGCTGAATAAATGTGTTTCTATTTTTATTAGGTGGTTGGAAATAGCAGCAGTCTTGAAGTGATGCGCACTGGCAGAGGACGCCCTTGGCATCGCTGCTGAACAGTGTCAGAAAGGTCACGGCCACCAAGAAGAAGCTGCACAAAGAATCAGGTAATGCACAACAACACGTTGCTCCGGGAGGGGGGTGGGGGTTTACATCTTTAAATAATATGTCATTGTGTCAACGAAACCACATTGACCCCATACATGGGAATTAAAGCGAATAAAGGTTACAAAATAAATAAATTTGACTTTACAAGTTTCCTGTGAAAGAAGAGGCAGCATGCAGCAGTGTGTGTAACAGCATGTAGTCCACTAGCCTACATTTCTGCTCACACACATCCTGGTGAAATTGGATTTTTGTAAAAAGCTGGGTCACCCGGATCAATGCTGTTGGTGTGGAGCAATGTCCATTATCAGCAGGGCAAAAGGCCATGGTTAAAAGCACACACACATATAGCCTAAGTAGAAATAAATGGACGACAATATTCACTAGTCTCTACGGGATTGTGTGTTCATCATTTTAGTGACACAAAAAGTTATATCTGACGCTGTAAAACGCTGCTCCAGAATGATGGACAGTGTCTCGGTATGTCACAGCTTGTCCAGTGAGTGGACACTTCACTGTCAGCAGGTCTCTCTCGCTGTGACACTGTGCAGACAAAGAGCATCTCGGCCGTGCCGCTACACTAAACTCACTGTCAGAAAGGCTCATTGAGAAGTATGGACATTTGACACTCAATATACTGCAGAGAAACACACCATTTACCAAACATATATTCAACGGCAGTCAAAGATATTCACCAACAGCCCTTAGGCAACTTTTCCAGTCGATTGTTAGAACGTTAATCAAATTATAAAGTATTTTTCAAACCGTTTTTAACTCCAAATTAGATTTTTTTTGAGTGAAGATGACACATTACGCGCATCTTTTGCAGGGTAGGACATAAACTCTTCCTTAAAATTAAGTCACTTTAGTCATTAAAATACATTATCTTAAATAACACGAGCCTTTTATCAAACTCACCATAGCGGAATAGGTGTGGATTAACATCTGGACCACACTGGATATCCCCGGATTTGAAATTCAACAAGACGCGCAGGTTTCCAAAGACTGAAGGATGTCACCAAATGCTCCGAGATGTAATCCAGGCTTGTTTACCGGTCCATTAATTTCAAAAAGTGTTATTTACTTTTCCTCCTCCTCTTCTTCTTCTTCTCTCTGTGACGGAGCTCTTTTACGCAGATGAAAAGCTGCTGTCAGATACACACGCGCACAACACACACAGAGTCCTACAGACTCTCCATGAGTGCACTACTTATAGGGTTTTGCGCGCACCCGGCAGAATGAGGGGAGGGGTCGACAGGGTCCACTTCTCTTAAAGAGATATATTCATTCAATTACGCTCCGTTAATTCAAACTCACACTGTGCCTCCATTTATTGTTTGTTTCGTTTTAACAATGGCACTGAATATTAGGAATTTTACGCACCGAGATATTATAAAATAGGAGAGTTTTGGTACTTTTATTGAGAATAATCTTTACAAAAAACACATTTAAAAAAGGAAATTATATTCTCTAATTTTTAATGTCCAAGTTTACGCTACAGTCGAATTTTACGCTCTGAAAACTAGATCCCTAGTCATAAAAATTACATTTTTTCTGTTTTATAATTCAAATAATGCAATTTTCTTCAAAATTGCACCCAACCTGAATAATTCACAAGTTTCATTACCGAATAAAGGGCATTTTTTAGATTCAGTTTCTGTTAAAAACAACTGCCCTTCATGTGCAGCATTTTGCGCAATATTTTCGGACGTGTGCACATGACAGACAGGTGACAGATACATTGTACAACTAAAAAAAGGAACACTTTGAGATTTTTTTTTTTTCTTTTACCTGCAGGACGTCGTTCTTGTTTCGGGATTTCCAGAGCATGGTGGTGCCGGTGGAGGAGCTGAGGGGTTAAAGTGACGCTGGGTGCAGAGGAGACGGGCTGAAGGTGCAGAGAGGAGTGAGTTAGTTAGGGAGACGATACACGAGTTTGTATGGATGGGTGTTACGGAGGGGGGTAAGGACAAAAAGAGGGCGGGAGGTGACAGGAGTCTCGGCGGGGGGTAACTAAAACTTTCTTCACGGTGTGTGCATAGACTATCAGGGATGAAGTGGTTAAACACATTGCTCTAATAACACGGCAGAGGAGCACCGATATTAAGAAAGTGATTTCTCTGAAACACCCTGCATTTTCTGCTTATTATTGTAAACCTACACATATGTTTAAATGATGTATGAAACCAAATATTTGGAGAACAATCATTGTAAACCTTTATGTTTTGTTAGGATGAGTCACTCATCAGCCACTTCTATAACAAAAAGCACTGTATTCAAAATAGTAAAAGTGTACTATTTGGGATAATCTTGATTTCTTTTAACTACTTTATCTTCTACTTTTTCCAACATTTCATATTCACATCTCCCTCTACAGATAAACAGACATATTCGTTAGTCAGTTTTAAATGCACACTAAATCTAGACAAGTATCAGTGCGCCATCTAGAGGTGGATGATGTAAAAGAGGACTTTTAGGAATAATAACAGAGATGCACCTTTACACAAGCTAGCTATGACATCCTACTTTGTAACATTTATAATAATGATAACTGGGTAAAAGCTTGATACTATTCAACTAATTTGAGAACTAAAAAAGATTATGACCTGATAAGTATTTCACCGTGTAGAAAAACAAATCCTTTTTGCATTGATATAAAAAGACACTGTAAAGGTTAAGTCTGGTGATATTTTCGGATTCCATTAAAAAACTAAAACACTGAGTTTCTGTCTCCCAATACTGGTTTGAACTGTCTGTGGCACAGCCCCCAAGCACATTTGTTTCTACAGAAGATCCTTTAAAGAAAATTAAAAGAGCTTGAGACTAGACTACCCACCCCCCATAATGACTATAGAAGTGTTCAACTAGGTGGTAGCAAAAGAAAAATCAGTACTACATGAAAAAAAACTCATGACCAAAAAGAGGTCCAGGTAGGTTTTCTAACAAAATAGCTTTTATTTAAGACATTAACATTTCACAATTGACATGTAAAAAAGTGTTTCTTTCCAGAGCACAGCTTTCTACAAACTTTGGAGTTTCTTTACAAAAAAATATGTTCATAATTTTGAGTGCCCTCTTTTCCACAAAAATTCATTTGCAAAAAACGGCAGCGCCATCTTCTCCTTATAATCAGTCAGGGTTAACAGTTCACACATGATTCAGTCAGATAAACACGCATGTTGGCTACAGCCCTTCTTTGTTACTTTATTTTGAAAAATGTAACCCGTAGAAGATGTCTGATTGGTTTTTACTTTACTCCCACTGACTTTTTCAGTTTCCTCAGAGAGATCAAAGCTCCTTTATCATTTCTCATGGCGTCTCCAATCTCCACCTTACACACAGGGCACTGGTCTGCCATGGCGCACAGAGCCTCCTCCAGCGCCCCCTGTGTGTGCTGCTCAGGCAGTGCACTACACTGACTCAGCATGGCCAGTGTGTGTTTGAGCCAACCTTCCTCTCGGACCAGGCTGCCGATCCAGGGCTGAGCGCGCACGCAGCCCCCCAGAGCCTGCAGACTCAGCCTCCACAGCTCCGCCGCCTCCTCCCAGCTCTCCGCCCAGCCGAGGCTCACCCTGACCGGGCCGGGGCTGGAGCCGGAGTCCAGGGCGCCGCGGAGGAACCGGAGGGCGGAGGAGAAGAACCGCCTCTGTCCGGCTTCCACTGAGCCTGGAAAAACAAAAAGCATGTGTGTAAGCAAAGTCATATGGGCATACTCAACAGTTACTTTATCACTTTATTTAAAAAACATTTTGTATTATTATTTTAATTTTTTTTATTCCATTTTGTCTTTATTTTTACCTTGTGTGAATCCTGTTTTGACCCTTTTGCTGATATAAATGCCTGAATTTCCCCAAGGGGATAAATAAAGTTCCATCTTATCTCATGGTGTTGATTGAAAGCTCTAAAAACAGGACATTAAAACAATTCTGAATCAAATTAAAAAAAAGAACAATAAAGAACACATTACTAGACTAAGAGTATAACAGTAAACACTTCTGTCCAACCTACAGCCGACATGATCTGAATTCCCTCAGGCGTTTTTCAAAGCTTTTATAGAAGGCAATGCATAAGGGTAACTAACAACATCAGTAATGGCTGCATTCTGCTCAGGTTTGCCAGTTTATCAGCTGTGGTATAGACCTTTTACCCAGAAGACACTTTGATATGTCGCAAGAGAGGAAACACAGAAATAAATAATTAATTTGAATTGCATTTATCGAGCTGATGTTGGATCATTGTCACTGTGAAGTTTGAATCGATTGATGGTTAGTGGTAATGTTGTGATTTCACGTTCTATGGCGTGTCAAATGTTGGCTGTATTGCAATGGAAAATACTGTGGAATTTGTATTTAAAAAAGGAACATGATACAAATGGCGCAGTGAATTTGCCATAAACAGCTGAAAAAAAAAAAGAACCAAGTGATTAATCAAAAATAAAATAAAAAATGTTTACCTGTAGGAGCTGATTTGAGTCTGCCAATCATCAGTCCCAGCGTGCAGTAATTTGCTGCCAGGACCAGGAGGCGGGGTTTGTGAACCAAAACAGGAAGTGCTTCACTCAGAAGGGCCTCCAGCGTTCTGAAACATGGGTCCTTCCTGGACGACCAAACAGAAAAAGTTTAAATGAACACCTTCAATATCTGTTAGTAAACAGCTTTAGATGAGTATTTCACTTGTAAACCAGCTACCTGACTCTCTCCGGCTCTGTGACGGTGAAGTTGAGGAGGGCTGAGCAGGCTGTCTCCATGCTGGGATCCCTGGCCGAGGACACCCCACCTTTCCCCTTGAGGGAGGTCCAGCACTGAGACAGGAAGTCCACCAGCAGTGCAGGGGTGTCGAGGGTGAGCAGCACCTTCCTGGGCTCTTCCTCTGCCGACAGGTGGCACAGAGCTGGAAGGAGATACCTGAAAAGAGCATGGCGGGTGTGAGGATTTAAGAGAAAGTACTGTTAGAAAACTGCAGATTCTATGGAATAAAGTATAAACTTTCTGACTGGTTCCCTCTGATAATTATCTTTACCTCAGAGCTTCTTTGCCCGTCCACGCCCCTGTCTCCTCTCTGACGGACATTTCGGACATCCAATCAGAGAGGCCGTGCTCCGGGCTCTCACCCTGCAGGTGGCTCCGGGAGTAGGCGATCAGGAACGGTAGCAGTCCGGTCACTTCCTCCTTCAGACAGGAAGTCTCCTCAGCCAGCCATGAGCACAGAGAGCGGAATGTGGCGAAAATAAAGGGGTCTCCATAGCGACTTTGATCCACCTACGAGAACAGGAAGAGACGAGGAAGTGAATGAAATGTTTTACTCTTTCTTTCAACACCTGAGATATTTACCCGCTGGTTCATCCGCAAAAACACGGCAGAAATGTTCCTATTGTTAGATTCCCTTAAAGTAATAGAACATTAACAATCTATAAAAATATCGCAGAGTACAAGGCCACAGAAGGCTGCAATGTCCTATCCAATCAAACAGACCAAAAGTTTAACATATTCAGTTTACTATCGAATAAGACAAACAGGAACAGCAAATCCTCACATTTAAGAAGGTAATAGTTGGCACTTAAAATAAGGAAATTACTTTAAAAATGTATTTTACTCAACTTGGTTGTTAATACTTTTCTGTGAATTAACTGGTTTAATAAGCTACAAAATGTTTCAACTCTATTTGGGAGCTAATTATAAAAAAATGTACTCCCCTATTATATTGTTGGCTAGTTCCGTTGACAGACATTAACTTAAAAATGTTATCCCATATTCTTTATTCCCTGAGGATATACATTTTGTCACAGCAGTAGGAAGACTCATTTGGCACACAATTAGTCATTAGATTTACAGAACTAGCAACTAGTAGCTTGTTGGATGCAAACAAATTATATAAATATAATATTTCAAAAATGTCCCAAATTGGGATCAATAACGTACCTATCTATCTATCTATCTATCTATCTATCCATCGGTCCTCCTCTCACCTGCTGCAGGTGGTACATGAGGGCGGCAAAGGCCTCCTCCAGCACCCCGAGGACCTGCCTGCTCTGCTGCAGACTGATGGAGGGGATGGAGCTCTGAGGAGGAGCGGTCTGGGACATCCCCACACAGCAGGCCTGCTCTATGGCAGCCTCCATGATTCTGTAACAGCCTGGGAAAAGGAAGTAAGGAGAAGGGTTTAAGTAACAGAGGGGGATGGAAGAATCACGTTTAAATTAAATACCTTACCAACATGGTTTGACATCACTAATGACTTATGACACATAAATGGACTATGAGAAATATAGAATGAAACCATGACAACCAAATAATTTATCAAACAAAACAAAAAAATATATTTTTATAATTAAAAAATAGGAGAGTAGTGGCGGTTATGTACCTAATATTTTATTTGTGGATTTTTGTTTCGAGATAAAAAACAGAATTGGACTCTTTTTCTTTATTAGAGTATTTAGAGAAAATGGGGAGACAGGCAGCAAAAGGCAAACATGGCTGCAGGTCTGAGTGAATCCCTTTTACACAGGGTGACATTTAGATATTTTTTGTCAAAATTCCTAAATCTGGCTATTTTAAAGAAAAAGAAAAATTGAAAAAAGGGATTTCAGAATTATTCATAAGATTGGTCAAGTTAAGAAAAGGTTAAGTGAAAGGCAGATGTTTAATTACAACCAATAAAGTATATTAAATAATCACACTACCTGTGAGAGTGTGCTGCAGCTCCGAGCTCAGTTCGTTCCCGGGCGGTTCCTCTAAGCCCATCCTGACCTCCACACAGGCTCGGTTCACCAGTAGGCAGCAGAACTTTGGCGTCCCGACAAACTCCCACCCGTACAAATCCAGCAGACAAGCGCTGAGGACAAGGATTGGCCCGATCTGACTTGGGGTCAGTTTAGCCTGCAACATGGGTCTCAACACCTCCCATACAGAGGCCACAACTTCTTTCAGCTCCTTGCTCTCTACTGCCACTCCTGCTGGGGGGAGAAACTGAACCAACTGGGCGCACATGTCCATCTTGGTCTGGTCTTTGGCTTGGCAGAAGTCTTTAGACAACTTGACCAGCAGAGTGAGGAGTTCTGCAGAGTGCTTACTCCACACTCTGTCCTTGGTTCTACCTGCTACAAGGCATCCCAGCAAGGGAAGCCCCTTCTCATGGCTGAAAGTCTGGTTTTGTTGCACTGCTTGGCACAGAGCGGGAACACCCCCCCTGCTCAGCAGCTGGTCGGGACCTCTGGGTAAAGCACACACAGCTGTGAGGATCTGGTAGCAGTCAGCAGCTATGGCCTCGTCCAGCTTTGAGGAAGGTAAGGCTTCTTGAAATGTTGATACTTTGTTTGCTAGACTGCTGTCGTCACTTTTTGGCTTGGTAGTCTTCCCCTCTCCTCCTGATTTGGCCTCATTGGAAAGATCACCTTCAGCGTTTGAACTCTCTGCTGATTGCACTTTAGAATCTGGACCCGTCTCTAAGTCTTGCGTTGGATCCTGGGCTTCCTGTTTCTGCTGGTTCAGAGGATCATTTGATAAAAGGCCCAGCAGGACCGGGATGGTGGTGAGGAGCTGGGGGTGGCAGGCCATGTCTGGGTCTGTGCTCAGAGCAGCCAACAGAGCCGTACCCAGCGAGAGGAGCTCCTGTGGGGGCAGGCCGGAGGTCTCATTCCCTCTGATGGCCGTCACCAAAAGACGAGCAGGAAGGTTCAGGCCAACAGCCTCGAAGATGCGCCTCAAGGTGGCTTTGTCTAGCTGGCTTGCTGGGCACAAGCGGGTTATCTGAAGACAGAGAGGAGAAAGAAAACACCAACCTGTCAGTGTTTAGGTCGGATTCTTTTTTCCCATAGATACATAACCCTATATAGACTCAGTTACACCTAGCTACAGGAAATGAATAGAGAAGCTTTGCTATAAACCTCTGTGAACTGAATGTAAACAGCAATGTAGTAAATGTATGTATGTAGGCAAGAGACTCTTGAACACTGCCTCCAAATAAGATTTCTGATGAAGGTTTCTTGACCAAAACTAAATTATTAATGAGCTCTGCGTGCAAGTTAAGAGGACAATGTGCTGGATTTACAAAGGACCAAAAAAAAACAACAGTTTTTACCCTGGGTTTATTTCTTATAGACTATTTTTATTTGCTAAAAACAAGCAAATAAATAACCTTCAGTAGGACTATAACAGAATTAAAAGTGCATAGATTATGTGAAGTCCATAATGACAAAAAATAAATAAATATGTGAAAAGGTGTTTTACAGTTTGTAAAAGAGTGGGTGAAGTATATAGTAGGTTACATTTCTAAGCAGATTTAATTAGCTCCTGTCAACCTCCGGTGTATTTTAAATGAAACTAACGCAGATATTTGTCTGCATGCCAGTGTATTACTTAAAGGTTTTTAAATGCAAAAAGTTAGTATACAAACACTATTGCTGGTAATGTTCAGTATATTCTCAGTTGAGTTAAACATCCCATAGACAGACACTTACCAGCAGCAGAGCAGCCAAAGTGTGACTGTCGTTTTGAGCCTGTTTGAGGGCCTGGAGACATCTGTCCAACACCTCTCTCTGGGCATCAGTCAACCCTCCTTCATCATCCCTCTCTGAGCCTCCTCCATCTTCTCCACCTTCTCCACCTTCTCCACCTCCTCCACCTTCTCCACCTTCTCCACCTTCTCCACCTCCTCCACCTTCTCCACCTTCTCCTCCTCCCTGCTCCTCTTTCTCAGGAGGCTGGCTGCTAACGACAAGTGAAACATCGTCGCTCTCAGCCATTACGACCTTGTAGTAGCTGTTAATAAAAAGCAAGATGGAAAATCAAACTGAATATCAGGATCATTAGCTCCACAACGTTGAAGGAAACAAAAGCAGGCTAATTTAACGATGTTCAGCTGGTTTTCTGAGTATTTTGTAAATAACGTTAGGTAGCAGTTGGACAGTTAAATCATAATTTGCAAACGTTTGTAAAATAACTTACTTTGTTGACAACTCTCTTATCACGCGCGGCAACAGCTCGTGAGCACACTATCCGGAAGTAAAGTGTCAAAATAAAGCTGAAAGCAACCAATGAAAGCTCTCCAAGGATCTCGGAGAACCAATCACAAGAGGGATAGTTGGAAGGCAGATACGCCATTTTGGATCGTGTTGCAACGTCGTAGAAGCGAAGCTACATTATAAATTGAGGTCACGGAAGACATTTTACTTTTATTATTTTGTTTTAGAAATAAATACAACATTAATTGACTAAAGCGCTGAAGGTTAATTGTTAACGTGTACCTTAATGTGGTCGTATTTGACAGCTGGTCGGCAGGTGGCGCAAGGCGGAAGTAGTCGGATTAATGTAAATAGTTTTCAATTTAATTTAAGACGCAGGGCAGGTAAAACTATTACCTAGTTACGGTCTGTGTACATACTATAAGGCTTATTTGGCGGACTACACACTCTTTCTGATAAGTATTGTTCATTTAAATCAGTGTGCGTGTTTCATCAGCCAAGGGTTTCAAAGGTTGTGAAACTAAGTGGTTTTATTTTGAAACATCCAGCCACCGGAAGCACTATTTATCACTTGACAGCACTGTGGTTTCACTGGCACATCAGCTGAACAAGCGAGAGGAACACTGACCTAATTATCTGTACCGGGGACAGCAGCAACAACGACGACACAACACATCACAGCGACCGACCGAAGTGACATTTCACTGTAAATGTAAGTCATTTTACTCTTCTCCGGCTTTAACAGTGCTGTGTCCATTTGCCATTGAAAACGCTCAGGGGGAATCCGTGGTGTACTTGCACCGTGTAGTGAAATAGCGATGCCAGCAGCTGGTATCCTCAAGATGGATTACACAGGTGATGTACATAATCGTGTTTTTATCTCTCAAGCTGTATGTCTCAGTATCGGCACGTCGTCGATTATTGTCAAAACGAAACGAAGGTCTGGTACTAGATACAAAGTGTTGTGTTATTGATTCAACCATTACCGTTTGTATGTGTGCACTGAACTACCCACAATGTAGTTATCGGCAATATTCTATTTTGTGACAGCTAGACACATGGTATGTCTTGAGGAAACACTGACTGTTTTCTGCCTGGTACGATACATAATGCAATAGCCTACCATTTTGGATGACATGTCTCATGCATTTCATCTGACTGACACACCACCATGCATGCGGTCGATCGTGCACATATTTGCACTCTAATCCGTCAGTAAATCCCTACTCTGCAAGAATCAATCACTCTTATAGAGTAGAGTTCAACATTGAATATATAATTGAATTGAAAAAGTAATAGTAGTTTAAAAAACAATATCCAGGCCACACAACCAGATAAAGATTGAAGACATTCCACTGCTTAAGGTTTAAACTGGCAAATGTTTGGTAGTCATGAATAGCTTTTATATTTAATAATGATCCATAAATCAACTTGTTGTCAGTTCAGTAATTGATTATAGTTCTGCAAAGGAAATCTGACTAGCAGCATAACAACAAAACAGACTCATCCATCAGTAAAACAGAAAACCATCAATTAGAATAAGTGTTATTATATAGCAGGAACATCAATAAGTGACAGCGTTAAGGATATCATTGGGCAAAGAAACAAGAACAAGTTAAAAACAGAAAAAGCTTTAAGCATGTTAATGTCTATTGCACATGTGTCAAACTCAAGGCCCTGGGGCCAAATCAGGCCCTTGGTGGATTTAATTTCGGCCCGCAGGATAATTTCTATTTCTATCTGTCACTGTGGCAGGACCACAGTGACAGGTTCAGCCACGACTCGAAGTCCAGGACTCAGATCAGGACTCAGGATCAGCCACGACTCAGGATCCCAGCGTAGATAGACACCAAAAAGAAATTTGGGGGAAGCTGGGTTATTCGGAACATGAGAGTACACAGGTACAGACAGAGAGAAGGAAGAAGTAAGGGGCAAAACTAGGGGCTGTACCTGCAGGTCCGCTGCAACTCTGACTACTTTTAAATCCAGGCTAAAGACTTTTCTTTTTGTCGCTGCTTTTAATTGAACTATTCACATCTTAAACTGCACTGTAACTTTTATCCATGTATTTTTTCTTTTAATGTTTATTTTATTATCTTTGCTTTTTAATGACTGATTTGAAATGCCATTTTCTTAATTTCTTTCATTTTTTGTAAAGCACTTTGAATTGCCTTGTGTTGAAAGGTGCTATATAAATAAAGCAAGCCTTGCCTTGAATCTAATCAGCCCTAACTAAAAGCTTTATCAAAAAGGAAGGTCTTAAGCGCACTCTTAAAAACGGATAGGGTGGCTGCCGCCCGAACACAAACTGGAAGCTGATTCCACAAAAGTGGAGCTCGATAAGAAAAAGCTCTGGCTCCCATTGTACTTTTAAAAACTCTAGGAACAACCAACAACCCTGCATTCTTGGAACGGAATGCCCTAGTAGGACAGTAGGGTATATTGAGTTCTTTAAGGTAAGATGGCGCCTGCCCATTAAGGGCTTTGTAGGCGAGAAGAAGAATTTAAAATTCTATCCTGTGTTCTATAGGGAGCCAGTGTAAGGCAGCCAGAACAGGAGTAATGTGGTCCCTTTTCCGAACTCTGGTTAGTACACGTGCTGCAGCATTTTGAATCAGCTGAAGCGACTTAACTGACTTCTTGGTACACCCTGATAATAAAGAGTTACAATAATCCAGCCTTGAAGTAACAAATGCATGGACTAGTTTCTCTGCATCGTTTTGAGGCAAGATATGCCTGATTTTTGCTATGTTACGTAGATGAAAAAAGGCGGTCCTTGAGATTGATTTTATGTGGGCGTTAAAGGATAAATCCTGATCAAATATAACACCAAGGTTCCTTACAGTCTCACTGGAGGCCAAATTAATGCCATCCATAGTTAATATATCTTTAGATAGTTTGTTTCGTAGAGTCTTTGGGCCGAGTACAATAACTTCAGTTTTGGCCGTGTTTAACATCAAAAAGTTTAAGGTCATCCACGTTTTTAAGTCCTTGAGGCAGTCTTGAATTTTATTTAGATGATTGTTTTCATCAGGCTTGATGGATAAATATAGTTGAGTATCATCCGCATAACAATGACAATGTACAGAGTGATTCCTTATAATATTGCCTAAGGGAAGCATATATAATGTGAACAAAATAGGTCCAAGCACTGAGCCCTGTGGCACTCCATGGCTAACTTTGGTTTGCATGGAAGATTCATCGTTGACACACACAAACTGAGAGCGTTCAGATAGATAGGACCTAAACCAGCCTAAAGCAGTTCCCTTTATGCCAACTAAGTGCTCTCGTCTTTGCAATAGGATATCATGGTCGATAGCATCAAATGCAGCACTGAGATCAAGCAAAACAACAATAGATACAAGTCCTTTGTCTGAGGCTATTAGAAGGTCATTTGTGACTTTAACCAGAGCTGTCTCTGTGCTATGATGTGTTCTAAAGCCAGACTGAAAATCCTCAAATAAATCATTGTTTTTTAAGTAATCTCACAACTGTTTAGCGACTGCTTTCTCAAGAATTTTTGAGAGGAACGGAAGATTAGAAATAGGTCTATAGTTGGCTAAAACCTCTGGATTGAGGTTGTGCTTTTTAAGAAGAGGTTTTATCACTGCTAAACGTGAAAATTAATAGAATATCCCCTCCCATCTTCAGAGCAATCTGACTATTATAATATTAGCGTTAAGAAAGCTTACTTAAATATCTGCCACGACATAAGTAACCGGATCAGAGTAACATTAAGTACAGTCCGCGGCACTGTGAGTGCAAACGTAGATGTGTCCCATTATCATTCATATCATATCACATCATAATGTATCATATATTTCCTTATTTGAGTCAGCTTCTTGAGCCGTATCTGGCCGTGCAACACTCACAGTGTCACATACTGTATGCAGAAGTATTATTTTAAGCAACACATTAAGTTGATGAAAACACTCGAGTCAAATTCTCCTAATTAAAGTCAGATCCACTCGTGTCTTGGACGGGGCAGTGATTTCATAAACCTGTTAATGTACGCATTCAAACACTTTTTCTTTTACCAGCTGTATTCACCTTGCAGGTGCAGCTATGTGGCTTTTATCCTGGATAAAGTGTTTAAGACATGGATGTTTAAAGTTTAACTTCTTCATATTTGACTAATATTAAAGTTCACTTTTCATTCAGGAAGTATGACGCTGCGCTGTCAGTACGCTTGTCCGTGTTTGAGATTGGTCGAGTGCTCCAAATACCACCCCTTTCATGTGAACGCGCACCTAACTAGATAGGACACGGCTGGCTTGAGCGATCCACTTGATAACCAGCGTCGTAGTACAGTTTAGCCAGAGCGCGTATGTTTTGGATTGGGCCAACCGGCTAACTCAAACATATCCAGGTTAGGTTGAACCAGCTTCGTAGTACAGGCCTCTGGTCTATTGCAATGAGTTCATACTATTAATAATATTTGTGCATGACAAAATCAATACAATGGATACAAAAAAGTGACTAAAGCAAATAAGATTAGTAGCTCAGTAGAAGTCCAGCTGATATAAGTCTGATGCTGTAAAATCTACAAGAAGTTGACTCGTAGTGTGTCTTTAAATGCAGATAGAGGTTTCACTCAGTTGTATAATACTTTTGAGTTTTCCTTTTTAAACTCTTATGATAATCTTGTGCACAGGGGGTTATGGTTTTGCTATGATGCTTGCATTGCATATTAATATTATCCAAGTATGAGAATCTTGTTGCCAAGGTTATTCTTATTATTGTGCAGATTTTTCTGCCTGGAGAGGAATACAAATCTTCATTTTCCTTTACTGTAGCTGCCAGAAGAGAGAGACTGTGTGTGGGCCTTGGTGTCATTACAGAGAAAGCTCCACCAACCTGTCTGCCTAGAAGCTGATACAGAGCTGACAAGTGTGCTATTGACTGCTGCAACTGAGAGAGAGGAAGAGGAGGAAGAAACAGCCACAAAAAAAGATAGAGGGAGAATTTTTTCTTTCTTGATCTCCGGTGTTTTGGTCACAGAGATCATTGTTTTCCAGAAGCATCTCAAGGGAAAAGTGGCTATTGAAAGGTCCATAATGGCTGAGCTGTCATCAGCCCAGGTGACTGAGTGCACCTGAGCATTTCTCCTGCTGGACTCACTCTAGTCTCTACCAGCCTGGGGGCACTTGCTGCGTAGTTTAAAAAAAATTGCAAGAGGAGGAAAACGTGACTGAATCCAGACATTTTTTTTGTGTGTGATTTATTTTTACCTGGGAAAGAAAAACAAGTGCTGGAGGACTGATGACCGTTTGTGGATTTGGGATTTACTGAGCTGTTGATTATAGCACTGAAGGAGAGTGCTGGGGCTCAAGCGTCCATTCGCAGGAATGCAGATTGACATATGGATCATACAGGTTTGTGTCAGCAGTTTGTGAGAGTGTGTGATCTGTGCCTAGTGATAACCTTTGAACATTTTTATATAACGGTTTTAACAGCCTTAACCAAGGTAATCTGCTATCTTGAAATATTAACTACAGAGTGGGAATTTACAGACCGAGTATCACCATGTGCATGTCTTTTTAAATACTGACAAACAGAGAAAAAGTAATATTATTTTCAACAATATGGATATACAGTGCTTAGCCAACATCTACACTGTCTGCACAGCAGTGAAAGCTGCTTGCTTCATTTCTACATTGCTCCATAATAGTCTCCTGGTGGGACGTTGTGGTAGAAGAAGCTTGCATACGTCTTGAACACAGTGTCCCAGAACTTGTACTGTTCACTCCCCCCTTTTTTTTCTTTTCTTTTTTTTTTTTTTCCCCATTCTGCTGTCAGAACTTGCAATGAAAATGTTGGAGGGGGAAACGTGCAGTACATCTGTTTTACATCATGCATTCCTCATCAAATCATGAGTGTGCCTTCCTGGAGTGTTAGTTTACCTGAAAGAATTTACTTTTGGATCTCAAGACAACAGATTCCTATAAGCTGGGAACCTATTGTTCATTGCTCATTCTTTTTTGTACAGTCCGCATCTTGATCCTTTTTCTTGTGACTCATTCAGCAAGGTAATTATTCTGCTGCATGAATGTATTATCTTCAGTAATTGCGTTAAAATGAGAAACTTCCTCATCACACTTCCTGTAGGAAAGAACATTAAGTGTTAGGATGTTACCCAAAGGGCCTGGAGGGCCTGTGATTTTATCATAACATGTTATATTTACTATAGTGTTGTTAAAATGGATAAAGTAACTTTAGATTGTGACGGCTCTTAAATCTCTAGACAAGACTTTAAGAAGAGGGGTAGACATGTTTATTTTTTGCATGCAGTCCCTTATACCCAGCTATTAACCACTTAAAATGTTCCCTTCTGTTATGAACATACAGGCTGGGTAATTTGTTGTTATGCTACGACCACAACCAATGACAGACAGATGACATAATAAACGTTGTTGTATAATGTTTTGAGATATGCCTCCGGCTATGACAGAGGTACTGTCGTAGAAGTACCTGTACCTGTCGTAGAAGGTACCCGTCGTACCTGTCGTAGAAGGTACCTGTCGTAGAAGGTACCCGTCGTACCTGTCGTAGAAGGTACCTGTCGTAGAAGGTACCCGTCGTACCTGTCGTAGAAGGTACCTGTCGTAGAAGGTACCTGTCGTAGAAGGTACCTGTCGTAGAAGGTACCTGTCGTACCAGGTACCTGTCGTACCTGTCGTAGAAGGTACCTGTCGTAGAAGGTACCTGTCGTACCTGTCGTAGAAGGTACCTGTCGTACCTGTCGTAGAAGGTACCTGTCGTAGAAGGTACCTGTCGTAGAAGGTACCTGTCGTAGAAGGTACCTGTCGTACCAGGTACCTGTCGTACCTGTCGTAGAAGGTACCTGTCGTACCTGTCGTAGAAGGTACCTGTCGTAGAAGGTACCTGTCGTAGAAGGTACCTGTCGTACCAGGTACCTGTCGTACCTGTCGTAGAAGGTACCTGTCGTAGAAGGTATCTGTCGTACCTGTCGTAGAAGGTACCTGTCGTAGAAGGTACCTGTCGTAGAAGGTACCTGTCGTAGAAGGTACCTGTCGTAGAAGGTACCTGTCGTACCAGGTACCTGTCGTACCTGTCGTAGAAGGTACCTGTCGTACCTGTCGTAGAAGGTACCTGTCGTACCTGTCGTAGAAGGTACCTGTCGTACCTGTCGTAGAAGGTACCTGTCGTACCTGTCGTAGAAGGTACCTGTCGTACCTGTCGTACCTGTCGTAGAAGTATGTTATTTAAATCGTAACTTTTACTTGTCACCTCTAATCACCTTTTACCTTATATGCAAAGTTATCATTAGCATATGAGTCGGGAGGAATGTGAAACATGTTTCACTTTCTTAAGAGTCACAGCCAACAGGATCTTAGCAGAATTTGTTATCGGCTAGGCTCAATCAGGAAATGTTTTTCTTTGTTGTAAATAATAACAAACGTAGATGGTATCCTAATGTCTTATATAAGCCAGAAGTGAAGTGTGTGTTTCCAACAGACCGCTAAACTATATAATTTATGTTTTCCTTCTTCCTCTGTGTTTTGATGACATAGTGTTTGTCATTACCATCTTTTCAATGCTACGTTCCAACTATACTTAAAGTAAAATGATTTGAAGAAACATACCTATTTTTGCTCTCTGCAGTTAAAGGAATTGAATGTAATTTGCATTAACTTTTGTTATAAAGTTGATGTTATATAAGCTTTTCAAATGATTTTGAGTGCTTCTCTAAAGAGCTAAAGCACTGTGTATAAAAAATGTCCCACTTGTCATGTGGAAAACAAAGACATCAATAACTCACTTTTGAGTTTGAGTTCGCATTGAAACATTTATTTGGACAACATAATAATGGAAAAAATTGATTCATTTCCACTAAGAGCCAGTATACGGTAATATTGAACGCTCAGTCCTATGTGGTCCAGGTTTGTTCATCAATGACATAAAATGATCCACTTGTAACCCCTTTTTATTCTCTTTTCTTGCACTCTCTAGTGTTGTTTGAGCTTTTGAGCCGGTGAAGGCCCCGGAGACGGCCATGTTGGATCTCCTCAGAGTGCTGGCGTTGACCCGTCTTCACCCGTCGCCCCACAGCACCTGGCTGCCCACCTAACTCCTCTCCCTCTCACTTCCTTCTTCCTCCGCCTGGCCGGGAGAAAGGTATTAAGTATATCTTCTTCTGCCATATGTTGATTGGGGATGAGAGATGTGATGAAATTAGAAATAACCTTCTAATCTAAATCTTTTCTTGTTCAGTCTCAGTATGACACTTACGGTTTTGTGAATGAATGCTTCCAATATCTTGAGTGTTTACCTCTCAAATTATTACAGACATGAATGTGTTTTCTCCTTTAACTCTTGGCATCAGAGCCAAAGTGTATTTAACTATTCCATTTAATGTTTTGTTATTTCATGTTATTTTGGTTGTCCACTTCTGTTAAATGAAGATAGAATTAACATTAAAACACACTAACCACTGAATTGTTAGCTAATCCAAAACTCAATCATGATTTTATTCAACAAAATAATCCTCCTCAATCCATATTTGTGGGCGTTCACCTTTTCAATGACACTATTTTCACTGCAGTCAAAAACCAGCCACCTCTTTGCTGCACTCAAAGGGAGGCACTCACCAAAATAACAATGTGGTCTGGCAGCATTTTAACAGCTCGATATATAACATTTCATTAACCACACAATCTGTTCTGGCTCGGAAAATATTACACTAAATAACTCAAGTCATACTGAGTTATATTCATTTAAGATAGTTGATGAACTATCACTATTACAGTATAAATTGAGTTATGTTCAATCATTCAAGTATTTTCTTTTAGGGTTAGGGTTATCGTAAAAATATTCCATTTGACGCTTCCTTTAAACACTCAATGAAAGTGTTAGATGCAAATATATATATATATATATATATATATATATATATATATATATATATATATATATATATATATATATATATATATATATATATATATATATATATATATATATATATATATATATATATATATATATATATATATATATATTTAAGCAATAGCTCACGACAGGCCGTGGTATATGCTCATTATATCACAGCTAAGGGGGTTGTCGACCCTCCGCTTCGCGTCGGGCCGAACCACGCCCCTTAGCTGTGATATAATGAGCATATACCACGGCCTGTCGTGAGCTATTGCTTTTATAAAACGGTTACCAAGTGTGGCAATATGAAAGAAAAATACACACTCTAATTTAAATAGTTTTTATTAGTAAATAATGATGTTCAAAATAAAATAGTCCCTCTGTTGCCTTCTGCACGAAACATAGTGCGAGGTGGTTGCTATGCAACAACACTAACAACAGCTAGCGAACATATTAGACAGAGAGCGTTGATCCATTATTTCGCTATTTATTTACATTAATGTGTATGTTGCCGTTTATTGTGCACCCACTGAAAAACTGTCCAGCATCAGTACCATGGCTTACGTGGTTACTTGTATAGGCTGAGGTTGTTCTAGGCTGTTGCTTGGCGTGGCGAGAATATTGCTCCACTTTCTCCGGTCCCCGAGATTCGGCTTCCAGTAGCTCTGGAGAGAGCTTTCGCACCTGTGGCCACTAACGGTCATAATTTCTCTGCTTTGTTTCAAGACCCGCATCAGAAAGCTTTGAATGGTGATACTTTTCCAGTTGGTCTACCTGCTCTTCACGTAGCTCTGCATGTCTTCGTTTAGCAGGGGGCTTTTGTTCTGGAGATAGGCACTCCTCCTCAAGCCACTCCTCCATAGTAAGACCACCCCGGAGGTCGAAGTTAATCTTAAATGTGTCCATGTTATGCTTTGTAAGTTTGTTTCGTAACGGAAGAAATGTAAATATATTTATAAACGGACAAGTCAAATCAAGCAATCTGATTGGTCGATAGCGTTTTTGCGGACCTTTTTGATTACAGATTTGAAAACATCGTTGCTTGCTTTAAAAGTAGCACAATTCATTATGTCAAACCTTGGAAAGTATCTAGATATCCCTGCCCTAATGCCAAAGGAACTGCACACTGAATATGTTTTGCCGTTTGATGTCTATGTCTGGACCGCTGCGTAAAAAGGAGGGTTTCTGCCCGTTACTTCTCCGCTGCTTTCTTGTTCCAGTTCGAAAAGCAAACTGCAGGCAGTTTGCTGCAGGCAGTTTGCTTTTCGGGCCAACTGTATACTGTTTATCTCAGACGCGGAGGGATACTGAGTTGTTGTGAAAAGTAACTTACAATTCTACCCGTGGTATACGCTCAGTATACCACGGCTAAGAACCAATCAGATTGCTTGATTTGGCTTGTCCGTTTTATAAATATATATATATATATATATAAAAAAAAGAAAAATGTCAGTCCCGCCTCAAAACTCATCTCTTCACCTCTGTCTACCCTTAAGCCCCCCCCCCATCAATCCATCCCTGTTGACTGTCTTTGTTTATCCACCCTGCCTTATACTGTAAAGAGTCTTTGAGTTTGAGGAAAGCGCTATATAAATATAATTCATTATTATTATTATTATTATTATTATTATTATTAATAATGCTAACTTGGTTTTATCACATTTTCCTAGGTCCTTGGTCGCCATGTCCTATGCACACCACAAGCTGCTCACCTGGAGCTTACCTCACCTCCTCCTCCTGACGTTGACCTACTTCTTAGTCTTGTCTTCTCCCACAGGTAAGACAAACAAGTGTCACCCTAAACACAACTGACTGAACCACAGTTGTTAATCTGCACTGTAGATTCACACGCCTTTGATTACTCAGGGCGGGACTGCATCCTTCTTGAAATCTTGTTATGATACTTTGATTGTTTTACATCCTGAGTTGGTGTTTACTGCCCTCCTAATCTGAGGCGGAGAGACACAGGACTGTTTGCAACCCTACTGTGTGTCTGTGTCTGTGTGTGCCTCTGTGAGTGGACATTGTGCATGTATGTGTTGAGGGGTGGGGGACAGACAAAGAGCGGGTGACTAAACAACAAACAAACTCAGGCTTCTGTGTGTTTCCTGTGTGGGGCAAGACCTGTGTTTTTCCAGACTTCAGTTAAACTGACATCCCATAAAGTCAACCTTAGCCTTCTTGTTGCCATGGCAGCAACAGTTATGGGTACAGCAGTGTCTCATAAACTATGTTTTTCAGGTTTTCCTTTGAGTTTAAGAAACACTAGTTTCAGAAATGCCGGTATTACATTTTATTATTCAGCAATTTGATTCACCTTTTTGTTATTGCCTCGTCATGAAAATAAGTTTTTATTGTAATAATAAAATACCTTGTTCATATGTGGGGATATTGACAAAAGCTCACATAAACATATATATATCTTTATTTATCCGGTCACTCGGCCTTGTAGAAGACTTTAGCTACATTTATTGACAGTAGATTTCCAAATGCAGTGCAGAATACTAGGCTGTTAATAAATGAATACAATGAAAACAACCAGTATTTCCATTATGGGATAGTACACTTGTTTTGATTTGATCAGCTTCCCTGTGTCGACCTTTCAGAACTGCAACACAGAAATAAAACCATTTTCATTGTCACCGCAGTTTCCATAATTTACAGTGACACAGCAGTTTTCATTTGTCTTTATGTATATATGGCTAGTTTGACCTTTTGTGTTTTGGTGGTCATTCATTTGAGTAGTTGTCAGTTATAACATCTCAATTCACCCTGTTTTACCGTCTGTAGTATTTTACATTCCGTAGTATTTCACAGTATGTGGTATTTAACAGTCTCTAGTATTCCATTGTAGCTGTCTACACAATTACTTGCGCATGTTAGAGAACAGCTGGATTTCATTGAGCTCATTTCATACTTGACTAAGATTAGTTTTTGGCAATGCCCTGGAAGAGTAACACGCACAAAGGGCAGCTTGGTGTACCAGCTCACTGCACTGCTGATGTGACTCTGATGTGTTCTGGCTCAGAGGGAGGAGTTTGGTGCGTACCGCAAACTGTGCTTTGGGTTTTAATCGGTGTCTTGTATTGTCAGGGAAAAGCTTCACTTCCTCTCTCCGCTACTGACTTGGCCGACTGCTGAAATCGCGGCTGCTTGTCTGCTCTTCTGAGAAACGTTCAGTCTGAGCCTAATCTGTGAAAAGTCTCACTCTGGGTTTCACTTTTGGCATTGTCGAAGGCAAAGGGGCAGAGTACCCAACAATGGCCTGATTGATATAAACAAGGGAAATCTTGAAAAGCCTGGGAAGCGCTGCCTGGTAGCGGATCCTTTGACAGATCCTTTTGATCAAACCACACGCTACACAAAACACTTTAGAGACTTTCTTTGCCATGAAAATGAGCTTATAGCATTTAACTGTTGTCCTCCATTTCACCCTCATAGTGTGCTGCAGGATTGAGTCGTAAAACACACTAATGAGTCCGCATCTTTGCAAATCCCTGTCCTCTATTCCAAAGTCAAATAAATGTTTAAAGTTTTTTTTTTTTTATGCCTGAAATCGGGTCTGTTGTTGACACACGCTTTAGGGACGTTCAGGCTTTGTTATGGGCCTTGAAAAACATTAGTAAATACTCCACTTGTGACTGTTTAAGTGGGTTATTGAGACTACAAAGGTTATCAGGGACATTAAACGTCATCGTGCCGAACAGTCATCTTCCTACTGCATTTTACTAGCGCTCTTGAAAAATAGTAATTTGACACAGCCATGACCACAAGCTAGATCACGTCACGCAAATAAGAAATGGAAGCTACAGAGGTCTGCCCACAAACTCAAATGACCAGTTAGAAGCGTAGTGCTGTCGTCATTGAAATCCTGCAACCGTAGCATGGTTAGTTTATAGCTCTTTACTTCTGGCGGCTGCATTTAAGCTCTAAAATCATAAAATGTGTGTTTATTTGTGAAGGTTATCTTGCTACATTTTTTGCCGCTGTTAATATTTATTGCAATGATCGGAAACCCAATGGAAAAATCCTATCGACTTTCTGTTTTCAAAACCACAGTCATTCTAATGTGTGAGCTTACCTAAAAAAATACGTCATCCCTTCAGCACTATATCATGACCAACTACCAATATGTTGCCACAGTACTGATCTCTCACAGGGATTGGACGTCAGTGCAGTACATCATTGTTTTCTCTTCCTTCTATCCCCCTCCAGGTGTTTCAGCAAATCTGTGCCGGGTGACTGGCGGGGTGTTGGGGATGCACTGGAGCAGCGCCATCGGCCTTGGATGGCACTCTCTGGCCAAAGGGAGAGGCGGGGCCACCTGTTGGGAGGCCTGCTGCTTGAACCCCAGCTGCACCGCTGTGTGGAGCCTCGGGGGCCAGTGTGTGTTCCTCCGCTGCACCAGGAAGTGGGGCTGCCCCATCAACACCCTGCCCCAACCCCACCAGGAGTCCCTCGGCCTCCTTCAGCTGCTCTCAAAGGTACGGAGCAACATCTCTAGACTTACTGAACATATTTGAACTGATTTGATCATTTTCCAAGATGGTTCTGTCATTTAGCTTAGGGTAAAGTCAACACAGTCAGTGTGGTTATAAAATCTGCTTTCAGTTACCTTCATTAAGTCACAGCCAGCTACTGACTTTCTTTTTAAATATCATAAATAAAATGATGCTGATACACAGAATGTTCAATTTGGGAGAGCATTTGGAATTGCTATCAGAAGATTTTTAAGTGTTTCTGTATATATAGGATTTCATAAAATATGTTTGTAAAAATAAAATGTCTTGTTTGCAACTTTACTTTAAGACCCCGACCATCAGAGCAAGATTTAGAAGAGCTCTAACCGCAGAGCCTGCAGGAAAACACACAGGAGACCAAACCAAAACGGTAACTTGACATAATATTGGTTATTTTTATATATAATTGTTGATCCTTTGCATCCTTTATCTTGTTTTTTTTGGAAGCAGATTGCTTTAATGCTCTTTGTAACAGCACTGAAATAAGTCTGCCATTTTGTTTGTCATACTTTTATTTCTAATACTTCCCATCATGCAATCACCCTTCCCACATGCTGCATCATAGAGGGTCGTTTACAAATAATCCTTGAAGGTTTCCATACTCTTTGACTCTTTCTACAGGAAAGTCCCAAACAGGAAACAGGTCACCCAACTCCCACAGAACCCAGCACCGTCGCCCAGGAGACCCATAGCCAGTTAGCCAATGGGAGTGCAGACAATGCTCCGGCTCCTTCCCAGCAGAACTCAACGGACACCGTAGATGTTGCTGCGTCTTCCAATGGCAGTTCCGTCATCACGCCTCCAAACACAGCTGCAGAGGCCTCCATCACACCTCCAACTCATGCCGGTAAGAACGCTGCTGTCTGCAGCAGTTAGTGTCAGCGATCACCTATTTTAGGCTTGTTCAGTAATATGTCTTGATTAATAATGAGCTACTAAATAATGTAGAAGCAGCAATGTGGTTTTGCAGCCCTGGAGCGAGATTTCACACAAGTTTCTTTTTTGACTCACATCTTTGTCCAGTTAAGCTTGCATATTTCTGCCTTTGTTTTCACTTTAGCTGATGATTGACAAAATAAAGGCGTACACTACCCACACATTTTATGGCAGACTGCTCAGGCGTTATATTTCCAGATGAAAGCAACACGTGCGACAGCCAAATGAGTCCAAGCAACAGGAATGTGCTGAGACAAGCTGGGCTTCTACAAACAGGAATAACTCGTATGATCAGGCTCTCCTCCCTAAAAGACAATAACACCATTTGAACAGATATTCTTTCACAAATATTTGTAGCTCTTTTAATGACTAATACCAATAAGAAAGCAAACAGTAACAGGAGGAGTTGGTTTAAACAAAAACACCCAAGTCATATGAAGGTCAACTGCTTTTTAGGAGGAGCTTAGACTTGAATAGGCCGTGACATTGAAAGGGACGCCTCACATTCACAGTTTGAAACACATTTTACACATCACGAGGAGAATACCAGTCTTCAGCTCTGAGGGGAGCTTCTCAAGTGTAGAGAAAATCCATCTGACCATGCAAAAAGTGTTTTTATTAAATGTTTTATGTCATTTGTTTGGGCCTTGAGACTAGAAAACGTTTTAATAGAAATCATGTGTTATGAATTGGCTTGTGAAATAAGTGACATACCGTTCTAATGAATACAAACTATTGCGTACTTCCTCTGTGAATTGTACAATATAGGATCCTTTCTGTAGCTGTATCCAAACTACAAACTATAAATCAAGATATTTCATCACTTAATGAGATCTGATGAACAGTGAAAGTGAATCGGACACGTTTGGATACGCTGATGGACTGTATCACATTTAGCTGTAAACGCAACTGAACGGCATTTCTTTTGGAGACATTGGAGAAAGCGAAACTCCTGAAGCACTCTTAATGTTTCGTAGAATACAATAACTCGGATTTATATTTTCAATTTCCATTTCACCAGTCCCCCAACTTTATGGTGTTGCAACAGTAAATCACTAGTGTACAGTTTTGTTGGTGAATTCACTCAGTTTTCTTTTATTTGTCTTTTCTAACAGTAGAAATGTAGCATAGGGTATTTAATAGGCTTCATTCTCAGTCTGTAGGGACTTTGCTTGGTCATCTAAGTGTCACCGGTACAAATTCCGATCCGACCAAAAATACAGAGTATTTAGCTGGTGCCAGTTCGCCTCCTGGCCACTGCCGAGGTGTCCTTGAGCAAGGCACCGAACTGCTCCATGGTGCCGAAACACTGGCAGCCTCTTCGCCAATTCTTTAATAGCTTTCAGTTGGTTACAATCTTTTGGAATCATTTCATTTGTGTTTCATGTGTAACTAGACCCAAGATGCTTTTATGTATTCTTCTCCTGTTGAATGAACACTGCCACTCGCACCATGCTGTACTTTTGGCTTCATCTCTGTTTGTTTTGTCCTGTTGTCCCTCCCCGCAGTGAGGGAGCTGGTGGTGTCAGCAGGAGAGAGTGTGGAGGTCACGTTACCACGCAGTGACATCGAGCTTAACGCCTTCGTGGTCCCACCACCCAAATCAGGTAAAACCATGGATATACTAGAAATATTACTGAAGTTTATCACCTGGAAACTAGTTACATAATGTTTTTAAATCATGTCATTTCAGATTGTTTGTGCAGAATTGTCATTAATATGTAAAATAATTGTATTACGTATGGATTTTTCTCTTTCCTCTATTGTGTTATATAGGTTTTCTGTGCATTTTAAATGGTCTGCAAAGACTAAAATCCCAAAGTTCCCTCCAGAGGGAGTTTCTCTCCCACACACTAATCGTTTGTTTACTTCCGTGGCATAGTGACATCACTATTTATCACTTGCGTTTCAATTGGCTAGCCCTCCAACACATTGTACGTGAAAGGCTAAGGGGCGTAACATCTCTAAGCGGTTGACCAATCATAACTGAGCTGGCCAGCTAACCAATCAGAGCAGACTGGGCTCTGGTTTCAGACAGAGGGTGAAAAGAGGTGCTGCTTGACAGGCAGTGTGAGAAAAATAAAGAGCTTTTTGAACATTAAAGCATGGAGACATGTCACAGTAGAGGCACAACATATACATGTAAACCTGAAAATGAGCAGAATAGGGCCCGTTTAATGCTTTTTTAGTGTAAGTATAAAGGAAATACTGTTTCTGTCTGAAAATCTCTGTTAAATTAATTAGATTTATTGCAGACTGAATGTCATTCATCATGTTTTGGTGTTTTTGGTGTTCAGTAATGCAGGAATGAATCACAACCTGCTTGACGGTTGTATTCCTGAATCTCCGTCAGCAAACTGTACGTCACACTAAACACCTGCAAGATCATTTCTTCCAGACTGAAAAAAAAGATTATGCAGTCACGAAGAGCTATGCACGTCCTCATTTTGTTAATCCCTTGATCTTTTCTCAAGGATAATTTCCATACGGCAGATTTTGTTATCTGTTATCTGATAGATTTGTAATTAAATGCATCAGCAGTTTTGTTAAATGTTGCCCTTTCTTCGCAGAGACAACCTATGCATTTGATTGGCGCCTGATCACTCATCCCAAAGATTACAGCGGGGAGATGGAAGGGAAGCAAAGCAAGACTCTCAAGCTCAGCAAGGTAAAGATCACAGATTTCAAAATCATGTACTGCTAAAAATAACAAATGCAGCTCTGTTGAATGTGTAAACAGAAGAATCAGTGGTGTGTGTGGAGGACACAGAAGAACAATCAAAGTTCCTCTTTCTGTATGCTTGACTCTTTCTCTTTCTCTCAGCTCACTGTGGGTCTGTATGAGTTCGAGGTGATGGTGGACGGGGAGGGGGCTCATGGCGAAGGTTACGTCAATGTCACAGTCAAACCAGGTGAGGTCGAAAAATCGTCATATTTTGTCATCTTAGTAGGATAGATTTATGTGCCACCTTTCAATATAAACCAAGGTAGCTGCATAAATAAATAAAAACTCGACATGATTTGATGTAAATTCTATACACAGTAGCGCACACATGTTAGTGTTTAAGGCTGATGCTGGTACACACATGGCAATAGTATGATGGAGAAGAGGTTGTCTGTTTTTGGGCATATTGATGTTGCTCAATGTCCCACCATATTGTCCCTTATATTCTTTCTATATCAGTATGTACAATCTATCTATATTTAATTCTGTACAGATTGAGACAAATATGTGATTAATGAGCCTAAATATTCCCAATAATTTATGTCTAACATGGAAATGCAAATACACAGGAGTAACATTCAATGAAAAACAGTTAAGGGCAACCTACAGCCTCAGAAATTATCAAGTTTTTGTTGTTGTTATTGCTCTGTGTAATTAGTCTTTTATATTGATTATGTCAGTTTCTTCTTATATTTGAAAGTGTTACTTAAAAGCTATTAAAGAAAACTTTTAAGAGACAACCATTTAAATGTAATTGTTATCTAATTTCACTGACTCCCTGTGTGTAGTCATCTGTACTGTCCTTTCTGTAATGGAAGTATGCAGCTTGATATCTTTGTCTAATAGTCCACATGCTAATGCTAGTTAGCCTCAGCAGTTACATGCTGTGTCTCTCCCGCTGCAGCAGGTGTTCAGAATGGCATGACTGACGCACAGCTCCATTAAACGTGTTAATTTCTTTCTTTCCACCTGACAGAGCCACGGGTAAACAAGCGCCCTGTTGCCGTAGTTTCCCCAAAGTTCCAGGAGATCTCCTTGCCAACCAGCTCTACGGTTATAGACGGCAGCCGTGAGTGTCCCATGACGCACAGGGAGAGAGAGACCTTGCATCTAAAATATGTTACCTTTTCCTTTCATGATATAAAACGCATTAAACTGTCCCATTCTGTGCCCTTCTTCCTCCTCTATGTCCCCCCCTCTTCCTCTCAGAGAGCACCGATGATGACAAGGTGGTGGCGTGGCACTGGGAAGAGGTTAAAGGGCCCCTGAGGGAGGAGAAGGCCATTGCTGACACACCCGTCCTCACCCTCACTGGCCTGGTGCCCGGGAACTACACATTCAAGTACAGATGCTCTTTGTTTCAATTGTATTTTTAGATAAATACATTGCAAGCTTCTTACTCAAGCATTAACAAAGAGTCAGGTTTTTTTTGGAACTGCGCCTCCTTTCTCTATTTATATGGCTATCATCATCAGTATAATATTAGAAATGCTAATAGAAGATTTCAAATCTATTGTAAGTTCAAATACGAAATTCAAATACGAAGTTGAAATACGAACTTCCTGCGACATGGTGTGTGGGTGTGTGCAACTGTGACGTTACAGTCTGTGCCACGGTGTGTGCAACCTAAATTGATATACTGTGTGAGATAAATTAGACTGATCAAACACTGTAAACCTGCTGTCAAATCGATCGGGGCATCTCACATTTTTTAGCTAGCTTTTATTTAAGTCAGAGGTTGAATTGCTTTGATTGGTGCAGTGCAGTTTGTATGTTCTACCCTAATAAATGTCCCTTCTCAGTTTGACTGTGACAGACTCAGACGGAGCCAAGAACTGGACACCGTCCACCCTCTTGGTCAACAAAGCCAAGGATTACCCGCCTGTGGCCAACGCCGGACCTAACCAGGTCGGAATTATTTTCTGTCATCTATCATATGATTCAGTTCTTTAATGCACTTAAGCACCATCTATGAATGTGAACTAGGTTGACTTAACATGCAAAATGCTTGTCTTTCCTCTTACTAAATCCAGGTAGTCCAATTGCCACGCAACTCCATCACCCTGTACGGTAACGAGAGCACGGACGACCACGACTCACTGTCCTACGAGTGGTCCCTCAGCCCTGAGAGCAAAGACAAAGTTGTGGAGATGCAGGTGAGATACTCAGGGACTGTGCATATCCTTATTTTTCAAATGTTTCACTGGATAAGAGAGTTATGGCTAACAGTGAGCTATCATGTTTATTTAGGGTGTGCGGACACCCATCTTGCAGCTGTCTGCTATGCAGGAGGGAGACTACACCTTCCAGCTGACTGTGACCGACTCCACTGGACAGCAGGAAACTGCCCAGGTCACCGTCATTGTGCAGCCAGGTACACGTCGTAGTAGAAAAAAAACTCTTGATTATAACAACTTAGCTCTTTTGAATAGTGTCTGCACTAAAAAGTTTGGAGGAATACTTTGTTAACAAGCTGCTGAAGGCATTGATTAAATACATTTCATTACAACTGTCACTAATGTCTTACATGTTTTGATAGCCTTGGGTTATTAAGCCTCTCTTATCACTTAAGCACCACTTAAACTACAATTAAACTATTACTTCGACATTTAAAATCCACCACATCTTTACTCAATATGCCCTGTGTTACCTTTGTTTGCCCTCACATTTTTCCACAGTTTATATAAAACATACACCTGAAGTGTGAGGTGCATACCGAGCACCAGTATATAATGTAGCTGTGTTTATACTCGGCCTAGATAATGTGCGAAGCTCTTGTCAGTACCTAAGCTGCTGTTTAAACGATCTGTTTGCTTAACCTGCATGTGTACGTTCAACCTGATAAGCACCCGGTGTGAACTGTAGACTGCAAACACAAACTTGCAAGACGCTCTGTAGAGTTTGAGCAGAAGCTTTTATGTGAGCACACATCCATCTGCAAGGTCAGTCAAGGTCAACCATGTGAGGCATACTATCTGAAAGAAACGGCAGTGTGTTAGTCAGAGTGTGGTATTTCAGAAAAGAACTGCTCTTCTTTGATAATGCACTTTAAACCTTATGCATCGGGTCGTCCTTTCTGTATCATAGTGGGCGGGGTTTATCGGTTGGTACTGTTTTTTACGCTTGGTTGGTGTCCTCTTCTCACTCTCATTCATTTTTTTGAATAAAGCACATTCACTTAATTTTCCTAACAAGAATTGGTCCAGCTGTCAAACTATTAATTTGTCAGGTCTATCTTCAGCTTTACTATAATAAAGGCAAACATAATCTTTAAAAAAAAAAGAGAGAGCATTCCTTATATGCAGAATTACATAGTTTTAAAAGGATTTCAATGCAACAGTATTGATTACATTTAATGATAGTTGTTGATGTTGATGATGATAGGATGTTGATTTTGTTGTGGGAGAAATGCTTCACATGGCTTTCTTCTATGCTCAGACGACAGCCACACACTTTCAACAGCCATCATCCCACTTACTCCTGTGTCTCTTTCTTGCTGGTTCTACAAAGGAGATGTATTTTTAGTTTCCTCTCACTCTCAATCCTCCAGAAAACAACAAGCCTCCAGTAGCAGATGCAGGACCGGAGAAAGAGCTGACGCTGCCGGTGGATCGAACCACGCTGGATGGCGGTAAGAGCAGAGACGACCAGAAGATAGCCACCTTCCACTGGAAACAAACCAAGTGAGTCAAACACAGACACATCCTCATGTCTGGAGGCTGTTTATATTGTCTGCAGACAACTAGTTGATTTAATAATTGAAACACAAGCGGATAAAAGCTTCATTGCGTATACAGTTTAATTCAAATGTTCAAGAATTGTTGTATTGTTCAGTATCAGGATGTTTCCTTTGACCCTCTTTCTGTTTCTGTCCATTCTCCAGGGGTCCTGATGGTGTGAAGATCGAAAATGCAGACAGTGCTGTTGCCACGGTGACAGGTCTCGGGGTGGGCACGTATGAGTTCACCCTGACCGTGACGGATGACAGGAACCTGCAGAGCAGCGACATCGTCACGGTGATCGTCAGAGAAGGTTAGTAGATATTAGTGTGTGCAGACTATTCCATCTCTCATAAGCAAATAAGATAACTAAAGTTGGAGTCAGACAGGTGATGATTATAGATGAATTATCCGCTGTTAAATGTATTTTAAGTGTCATTCTGTGTTTGTTTTGAAGCAGAGGTCGTTTTGGTCTGGTCATTTTTGTTTAAGATTGTCATTGGAATTTATCACACATTCTAAATCAGTCATATTCTTGTTGTTGTTTTGACCTTACAGTTGCTGACCCTGTGGTTTCTCTTCTCTGGAGAGAAATGTGTATACCTGCTGTCCTGTCTCTCTGTATACATTATTTGTGTTTCTGTGTGTCCGATATCTGTAGCAGACGTTCTGTTGTGAAGCTGGAAGTGATGGATTCTGTTCAATCCTTTTGACTCTTTATAAAAGACGATAGCTCTGTTCTAACTTCAAATGTTTTTATTTCTCACTAGAAGGTGATTACTTTTGGAATTACCATGACTAAGATGAGTTAAGAATACATGCCCGAGCATACTAACTCATTATTGTTTAATTGGTTTGTTAATTTTTTAACTCTTTTAGCTATTTCCTTTATAAAATCCACAACAAACATTTTCAGAAATACTGTATATCTGATAAGTAAACGCATTACACATACATAGTTACAAACACAGTATATGCACATAAGCATTTCCTGTACACACACACAATATACATCGTTCAATATTCTGTACTAAACTACATAGGATGAATATACAAATATTCCACAAAGTATTATAATATTATAAAATAAGTAAAGGTTGAAAAGCTATGGGAATAAGAATGTCTTAGTTTCCCTTGGGTCAAAGTCTCTCCTTGTCAATATGTACAAGTATTTTTCAAAACGGGGTTTTTCCTTCTTAATTGTCAAAAATAAATATCAAGCACTGTTTACTGAACATGTTGGGACCCACACACACACACACACACACACACACACACACACACACACACACACACACACACACATGCTCATACACACACACGTCTTATCTTGAACTGTGGTGGCGTTGGCAGCAACTAGTGTTGGTTGTGCAGCTCACATCCAAACAAATTACCAAAGTATTAAACTTGAAGATGCTAAGACATGTGCGACGCCTGCTGTTTTGGTGTGCTAGCATTTTCTACTTTGATAATTGCAACTGATATGTGTGGTGGCAGAGTTAATTCTCTAACAACTAACCCAACTCTCTGTGAATTGCAGCCACCTCAGTGAATGATCATGTGTATTTTCCTCCAGAACTGGACCAGCCTCCAGTGGCTCACGTTGTGTCGAGTCCGACCATCGCTCTGCCTGCCAGGACCGCCTCTCTGGATGGATCCCACTCCACTGACGACAAGGGTGGAGTCAGCTACCTGTGGACCAGAGACGATAGCAGCCCTGCAGCTGGGGTAATGTAGTTCGCAAAACTGCAAATAATCCACTTTACAAGAAAAAAACATTCAAAGGGAAACATGTTAACACCTCTTTGTGTTGTGTTCCAATAGGATGTACTGAACAACTCTAACCACCAGCCACTGCTGTTTCTGGGGAACCTGGTGGAGGGGAAGTACAGATTCACCCTGACTGTGACTGACAGTAAGGGGCAGACCAGTGCTGACAGTGGCACACTGGTGGTTAAACCAGGTAAAGTGAAAGGACTCAAAATCCTGTTGTTTTGTTATTTTTTCTATATATTTTGTCTTCGAAGGCTAAAATGTGGTTTCCTTTAAAGGTCACCTATTATGCAAAATCCACTTTTTCATGTCTTGTATACATAAACATGTGTTCCCTCTGTGTAAAGAGATTCTGAAAGTTTCAGGAAAAAAGATTCTCTCTCTTTTTGTCCTGATCCATTTATATAAAAATGAGCTGATCAGATTTTGGCCACTTTATGATGTCATTGGCTTGTGTAACCATTAGCTAATAACCAACCAAGGTAACCCCCCCACCATATCACCTGAATCTCCTCCTAGAGCACCATTGTGTTCTTTTTAACCAAATATCTCTCAGAGGGGCGTGGGGAGGGGCTCCTTATTTTCATCTAAAGTAACAGACAGAGAATCAGCACTTTTGAAACAGGGCTGAAAAACCTAAAGACACCTCCTCCATACCCATATTTGTTGAAACTGGGCATGGCCTCTGATGTGCAGGACGGGACATGTCCAGACCTATTCTATGGCTATGGCATAAACACATTTTTGGGGCCTTAGTATTTCTCCAACAAGTCAGGAGCCCCCCTCATGTGCACCGCTGTAAAAGCTGTTACACACCAAGCCGATTTTCGGCGTCGATAGATGTCGGACCGCCGATGAGCGTCGTGTAGCCCTACTCAGTTTGGTGTGTACTGCACTGTCGTGTCTTTTCGGCTGCGTCAAATAAATCACTCTTATTGGCTGTTCAGCTTAGCGAATCAGTGCATGAGAAGCGAAACAGAAGTGAGGGACCTAAACAAACTATTAAGAAGGCAAATCTGAGATTTCATTTAACTCCAGCTCTCGACACAGGTTCGGGAAAGCCCCATGAGCTTCTCGCTGTAGCAACAAATAACAACAAATAGCAACAAATAACAACAAATAGCGTGTGCGTTCCATTTTCACTAAATGGAACGCACACGCTATTTGTTGTTTGTTTATATCACGCAGTCTGTTCCTCTTCTCTCGGTGTATCACGCAGTCTGTCTTCCGGTTGTTGCCTCTTTTGAATGACTAATACACACTACCGCCGCCTGCTGGTAAGCGGTAATGCGCAGTTCGTACGTGCAACTTGGCCGTCGGCTGAAGTCTTTGCGGTGTGTTCCAGTGCAAAACATGGCCAAGACACAGGAGACGTGAGGCGACGTTCCGTCGGGACGTGTTCTTTGGTGTTCTTTGGTTTCAGTTTGGTATGTAAGAGGCTTAAGGGAAGAAACTGTCTCCCCTCTCTTATCAGTCACACCCATAAACTTTAACAGGATTCTAAACTCAACTTAACCAACCCCTTGTGTTTTGAATATACTGTGATTATAGAAAAACATAAAATATAATGCATTTTCATTTTGGGTTATACAAGAATATATTTGAGTATATTTGATTATAATTAACTTTCGTTTTAAGTATTCAACCTAATATGGAGACCTCAACATATGCTACAATGATCTGTTTGGTATTTTGAGCCAAACACTTCAGAGACATGTTTTGTATATATCTGAGACCTATAATATATTGATGAAAAACAGTATAATAGGGGACCTATAAAGTTAAATTGCAGTATTTTATCACAAAATTCCTGTTGGGATGTATTTGCATTTCGTTGTTTTACAATAGGACACTCAACAACTAACAGCAGCAGGTGGAGCAGGTCAGTGTGCAGCATATGGAGCACAGACACACACAGATACTAATCCCTCTCTCTGTGCTCTGGCCTGTTTCCCAGATTGCAAAGTGTCAGATGGTTCCTTCAATCAGTCCCATGTTTGTCTCCTTTTTCCCCTTTTCTCTCCCACTACAGTCCTCTGCATCATCTTCCCCCCTGTCTGTATTTCTACTGTGTTAAAGTCTGTATTCTCACCTTGTGTTTCTCTCACCAGACGTTTGGGAGCGGGACCTGGTGGAGCTGGTGCTGGAGGTCTCTGTGTCGCAGGTCTCCCACCGTCAGCGCGACATGCTGCTGCGCCAGGTCGGAGTTTTACTGGGCGTGCTCGACAGTGACATCACTGTGCGAGACATCAGTGCGTTTAATGAGCACAGGTGAGTCCTACTGCACCATTAAGGCTAACTTAAGGGAAAAGGGTATAACCTGGACCATGTTTTTCCATGTACGATCCTCTCCATAATGGTTTCAGGCACTCATAACAACAATCTCAGCAATTTGGCTGCAAGAAATGTAAGCAGGATTCCATTGGAACAGAAGGTTACTGTACTTTGCAACCGGTTAAACGACTGCTGGTTTAAGCTTTGTCCCTTTAATACTAGACCAATTCCTTAAATGTTTGTCTACATTAGTCACTTATACACAAGGGCAAATGGAGTCCTGGTAGTAAACATTCAAAAAGAGTCTTTTTAAGTTTTATATCTGGTCTGAAAAGCCTTTATTTTCTGACATCTGTTGTATGTCTGAATATAATTTTCAGTATAAGTTCACAACATTTTCAAAAGACATAACCATGAAAAAGGCTGGATTGAGATTGTCTTGGTTTAGCTCGATTAGAGGTCATTACTTTATAACTAAGATTTGATTTCTTCCTCTTCCTGCCTCCTCAGCACTCGTTTGGTCTTCCTGGTGTCGGGCGGTCCAGGGCGCCCTCCTCTGTCCGGCCACAGCGTTGCATTCAGCCTGCGCAACAAACTGCGCAAACAGAAAAATGACTTTCTCATCTACAAGGCCCGACGAGTGGATACAGTTAGTGAGTACCCAAGAAATATAGTTTGTAATAGATCCACACAACAAAGGCCATGGAGTAAAGAGACAGATATTGTTCATCTGAAGCAGAGCTAGGTGGTACTTTTGCTGGATATTCATTTAAGGCTAAGCTATGAAATAATATACAGTATATTAAAAGGTTCAAAGGTTTGAATGTCATTCACACAGCTAGAGTCTAGTTTTGCAATGGAAAAACCTCGGTCACAGGTTCCTAAAACAACAACAAACAACAACAATATTAGTTGACAAGCAGTTTTACACAGGATTTGCAGATAGAATCATCTACAATGCGTCCTTTCAAAATGTATTTGAACACTTTGTCGCATGATTTCTTTGCTTCATGGTCTTTCTCTTGAGACACCATAGGCCGGTCATAGGACCAGGCTGCTTTGACCTTTGACCCCTGTTTCCTCAGCTCAGATACTTTTCAGATAATGACGATAATACATAGGACTAGGGATGGGTATCGTTAAGGTTTTAACGGTACTACTACTTTTATCGATACCGCTTATCGGTCCGGTCTTTTAACGGTACTCTTATCGGTTCTTTTGGAGAGAAAAATGAGGTAAACTAACTATATGTTGTATGTCAGGGACTACGGATGGAAATTAGCTCAAAGCTAAAATCCGGCATATTTACACTTGAAGCATTATTTGTCTAAAGTGTTCATTAATGTGCATTGTCCCTATTCAAATAAACAATTAAATGAAAATTAACAAATTGTGAACAAAACTAACATTGCTTTTTATTTAAATAAAATACATAATATTTCACATCAACAGAAACAACAACGTTTTAACAAATCATATTAAATAATCTGATGACAGAACTGTGAACAGAATGGCTGAAACTTTAACAAACTAAATAACTCAGTTCCCTCTAATCATCAACCCATGTTTGAATCATTGAGTTAGCTCCGTGTGTTGCTGCTAGCATACATAATATACCTGACGTGGAAACGTTACTCGTGGATGGGGCTACAGAGCTACTAGAGAGACAGTCGAACCCGGTGCATTTCTCCGTCTGAACGTGGTGCACTTTTGCAAGATGTTTAGACAAATTGCTCGTGTTACCGCCCTGACATGCTAAACTCTTATTGCACTTTAGGCAACGAGCGAGACGGGTAAAGTTTAACCACACCTCGGAGCGCGTTCTCTCCGCCATCTCCTCCGTGTGTGTGTGTTGCTGCATGTAGCAGCTGCGTGTGTGTAAACTGCCCCGCCCCCTCGCACACAGGCGGGGGAGAGAGATCTCTCGTCTGGATTGGAGAGATCGAAAATACAAAAAATGACGCATTTTGCAGTCTTTTTGCGTATTAGAAACGGAGTTGGCGACACTAAAACTGCAATATAATGTTTGTGTAGCAATAATACACATGACATATTTTTTAGATGTCTCCAGTACCGATAAAAAGACCGATAACGTCGGAGCTTAACGGTACCACGGTCTTTAATAATTCAGCCCGTTTAATACCGGGGCTCGGTACCCATCCCTACATAGGACTCAGAGGTCAAATCTCCCAGATTATTGACTTGTCTCTACATGTTCATTTTGTTTCCATCTTGACTGAAAGTTGTACGTTATCTTACTAAAAGCAACTAGTTATTGTTTATGCTCTTTGATATTTACATGCTATGTTGTTGTTCCTTGGTTATCTGTTTGGTTTATTTACCACTATGGGATATTAAAGCTCTAGTCTCTCATTGAACATACACTCTTTCTCTCTCTGTCCTCAGTCTGCCAGCTGAACTGCTCGAGTCACGGCGAGTGTGACTCGTACACACGGAGCTGTGTCTGCCAGCCTTTCTGGATGGAGAACTTCGTCAGAGCTCAGCTCGGAGATGCAGAGAGCAATTGTGGTGAGATGAGTTAAAAATCTTAATAGAATATTTAAGTGCGTAAGATTTAATATGGCAGAAGCTCATTTGGCTATACTCTACTTGAATATTGATGTTCATTACATAGAAATATCATACTTTATTGTTGTGTCTTCACTAAACATTTTTTGTTTTCAGAGTGGAGCGTACTCTATGTGACGATAGCGTCATTTATGATTGTGGTTGCTATAGCAACAACTATCTGGGGAATGGTGTGTTGCTGCAACAGGTGAGCACAATTTCTAAAATATAAATTATTTATACGATTACTAACACAGTACTGCAGATGCATCATCTCTGTTAAACTGTCGTTGCTGTTTGTTCTTCTCCTCAAAGGCGTAAAAGCAAAGTCCGCAGAAGCAAAAGCAAATATAAAATGCTAGAAGCTGATGAGCAAGACAGTCTGGAGCTACATCCACCTAGAGCCGGTAAGATATACACATTTTCACCATCACCACCTCTACTGAAGTGAAGTGTCTTTTCCACTGTTTCATGTTTTTACCTGCAAATCCCAGGTAAAGTCTAAAACAATTGTTAACACGCACAATCTAATGCTCACACTGCCAGTAATTTAACTTTTAGTTTTATGGATGTTTAGGCTGCATTTCTATTAAAAAATTAAATATTATACTTGCATTTTGAATAGGGTACTGCGAAGGTAAACAAGTTGTTTGAACTGTAAACAAAATGATATGACTTTTCTATGATGAAACTCATCAATGCTCATCATGCCATCTTCTGTTTTAGATCAGCCCTGAACTATGCAAAGCAAATGCTTACATACAGTTGACCGGATAGGGATAGGACTTAGCTATGTCATGAAATGTATAATAAAATGAACTCTATTGCCTTCTAAACAGAACCCTAACTGAGTAATTACTGCCTCTAAGGCTGAGACCTGGGGGTGAGGTTACACTCATTAACCACTCTAATGTAAACATTTGAAATGTATTGGATTTGTTCTCAATATCAGTTTTTTTCTTCTTGGATTGTGCATTAGATCAAATATTTTGATATCTATGAAACTACCTGTTTAATCAAGAACACAATTATTTGCTTAGTTCATGTTTTGACAACGCATCATTTTAACATCCTATTTATTTCTGTCCACCTCTGCCTCCCACCAGCCCGCATGAAGCCGGCGCCCGCTCCCACCTCCTCCGCCCTCATGCACTCAGACTCTGACCTGGACAGTGATGAAGGGCAGGGCGGGCCGTGGACGGAGCAGGAGCGCGGGCATCTCCTGAGGCCCCAGAACGGCTCCCTGAGGAACGGACAGGGGCCGGTAAGGGGCAAAAAGCAAAGGGATGAGCGGCTATAGCAAGAGAGGAGGGGGCTCGCTGCTGGCCTCACACACACAAACACACAAACACCTCCTCCAGCTGACACTCCCTCTGTTCCTCACTCTTCCTGTTTCTCTTTTGTTGATCTTCAGCACAGAAACCTTGTACCTCTCATCCACGAAGAGAAACTGATCGATACGTCGATAAAGGAAGGGAACGAGAAGACGAGCATGCTGGAAACATGTTATCCCACTGTCACAGAAACAAAATCACCACTGTACTGACACTTCCCTGCTCCCACACTGAGCCACTATGGAGGAAAAACAAGCTGCCCTTTCGCTGAGAAGAAGGGTCGAGAACTGTGTTTTGAATGGTGTCAAAATATAACACAGATTCCTTTTATTGAACACAGAGACATGAAGAATGTACCGTAACCCATCTTACTAAAGGCACGCAAAGATGCCTGAGTGACAGTGAAAAAAGCTTCAATGCCACGAGAACCAGCCACTTGACACGCTCACACCTTGCCTCGTGTAGACACGCATGTACGCACACAAAGAGGTCGTTTTCACACTGTTCCAGGTCAACCTGATGCTACCAAACTGCCATGTTAAAACCCAATGGTGAACTCTGCTCTGAACATTTTTTGATAATGGGCTACATGGTGAGCCCTTGGAAGGAAAAACACAACCAAAACAAGAGCTACCAAAAGCAATGGATGCTGCTCCATTTAAACAACACAAATGTGCATGAAGAGTGACTGCAGTTCTGGTGCAATTTGATACTGGAATGATCGCCTGCATGTTTGTATGGGTGGCTGCTGTGTCAAACAATGTTTCTTTAGAGCCAAGTGAACGTTTTTATTTCTGTTATTAACCCGTGGAAGGAATATTTACAATGTTGCAAGCATTGGTGACCAGATTCTTTAAAAAAACAAAACATCATCATGCTTTTATTCTGAAGGTTGCTCTGCTGATGAAGGCTCTTGGACACACACTGGATTACACAACGTTAATGAGTTCGGTCTCAACGGAGACGATAACGAGGAGAAGTTCACAACACAACTAATGGGACTGCTTTCGTTTCTCACCTCGACATTCATTAATGTAACGACTGCTTGAACCATGAAAACCACTGAGTTCTTTTTTTGTTTTTCTACAAACAACCTTCAGGCTGTGATTAGATGTCGATGCACTTTGATTTCATGTCTGTCACCTTTAACCTAATTGTTTCTCTTGGTTGAAAAGGGAGATTTGTGATGTTGTTAAAGTTGGAAAAGCTCAGGATCGTCACATACCTGTAGGCTTGAAATGAAAAGGATGGTGTAAGCTCAATGTATTACAAAGACTTTAACTTTTTTTTTATCCTTTAGGGTAATTTTACAGTTTCTGTGCAATCTTTTTGGCCCCCAAATGTGATGACACATTTATCCTTGCTTTTCTTTTGGCAAATATTCATTCAATTTAAATGTGGGGATCATTAAAATAACTCAAAACAAATAAGATCTGAACGGCAGAACCGTGACCTTAAAACAAACGACAAATGACATTTTATTTGGGATGTAAGTGAGTTATGTTTCCAGAATGACCTGAAACTGTTAAAAAATGTCTTCCTACAAATAAAATGAGCAGGATGTTTGTCTGTTGGTAAAAATACAACAGGAATGCTGTTAGAACACAGAAGATCTATGCATATATGTTTCTGTGGATCTATTTTATGTGAAGACTTGAACCAAATGACTCTTCCCTTGCATGTGAAAAGTCCACAAATTGAGTCACTTTTTTGTTGAATGTTAAAGGAGTAAGTTTGGCTTCAGTTCAAATTCAGTAGTCAATGTGAAATATGCAATCATTTAAATGTATTTGCGTAAAATGTCTATTTGGTACTCTTAAGAGATCATGCAGATATACTGAATTTATCAGGCCTTCCTTTACTAATTTCTGTGAGGCAAACAAAAGTTATGCTGTACTCAAGTACCAACAATGTGAAATCTTTCAACATTATAATGTGTATACATCTTCCTGTGTTTTTGCACATAATAAGAAATGGCTTTTGGATACATCCCCAAGATTTGACATTGATTTGCTCTCGTTTCTCTCACACAACATGTGCTAGTCACTTTTGGGATTTATAGAAGTTAATGAATTGACCTTGACTCTGACAGAGTCCACTGTGAAGGCAGACAAAGAAAACGGCGAGAAACTGTAAAATGAAGGGAGTTTAATTTAAGATATTTTAGTTTGCTTTTAGTGAAGGATTTACCCCCTTCTTTACATTTGTGACCACATCTGATGCAACTGGATAATCTGTACATTAAAATAAAATGTTTCAGTTTGTTCTTGACTTTTAAAAAGGACATTTTTGTGCTTTATTCTTTGACAAACACGTCTGATGAAAGCCTCTGGCACAAAGGGTTCTCCTAAATGTATTCTATTTCCTCTTTGTACTTAGTTTCCACTCCAAGAATGCACACGAGCAACTTGCAAATTAGGACTTGTCCCCAGCCTCTGACTTCAGAATGAGGATTTGTTTGCTATTGTGCATATCTCATTATCATGGCAAATGCCTCCTCCTTGCATTGTAACATTTGTTATATAGTATTGCATATAGGATGTAATTTACTATACAACTTAACACCCCCATCTTTAACCCACCAGAGTGATATAAGCCATCATTGCATTCACATTCAGTATCTCCCTCATAGCTTCTCTCTGACTTGTAAGAGCCCATGGGCCTCTGTGGTTTTGCTTTCCAGCTCCATTATTTACGAGATGATGGCTTCCATATCAATTTATGGTGAAAGAATGTTGCTATACATTAACATGTAAGACAATGTAATGTAAATGTTTTTCACTATATAGATATAGATATAATCTCGTTCTTTTTTTGTTTACATCAAATGAAATTAATAAAATAGGGCTGTAACAATTGGTGGGGTGAATCAATTAGTCAAAGGACAAAAATAATCCTATAAATCAACATCCATTGTTTGTGCTCTTCAAAATATAAAGAGTATACTTTTCTTTTTTTTACTTATTATTTTGCACTTACTTTTGTTAATTGATAATGCATAGATTATTCAATTGTTGGGGAGAAAAAGCATTTTGAAAATTTGAACTCTGGAAATGTGTGTTAGGCTCTATGTTTTAATTTATTTTAAAGACAAATAATAAATACTCAATCAAATTCTTAGTTGCGTTCCCAAAGTATGAGTGCAGAATAGATTCATGTTCTGCATGGAATACTATTTGTTCTTGCTTGCAGATTTGCACTAGTGCATGTGTCTTTTTGAACAGAGAAAAATAAAAAAGACTGATTAGTTAAGTCCTATGCTTCCTGACTGAAAGAGGACAGCCCAGCAAACATGTTGAGGCATGACAGAGCACAGGAAGCATGCACCACAGAGATTGCATTAATACTGTATGTATTAATGCAAACTACATGCCTGCAGATGAAAATGCAGTATTTATGGGATATGTGTTCTTCTAAAGGCATTTTTAAAAAAGAATAAATGCTATGATGTATTATCTCTGCTGCAAAGCCTTCCGATGTGTCATGAGGAAGGAAAGCAGTAGTTTGTCTCTTTTTTCTTTATATTGCTGCCCTCTGCCTCTCGCTCCTTATATGGGAAAGGAATTAGTTGCGCGAACAAGGGCGGAAACGCTGCGCGGTGACAGCTGGGTAAATTCAGCGACATACAGGAAGAAAAAGAAGAAGCACACTGCTGCAAGCTGCACACTCCTACGGTGACATACAGGACCAAATCACTGCTTGACCCGTTTAGCAGGTAAGAAAGATGCAGTTGTTTGGATGTGCGGTTCGCTTTAGTGTAACACATACAGATAAAGAGACAACAGGGACACGCCGCTCCCTTCTTACCGCTGCAGCGAATCATGGAGAAATCATTTATTGAAATCGGTGTGATGCTAACACACCCGGCTAGCCTAGGATGCTAATGCCGTTAGCCGCAAAATCTGACGCTTAACCATTGCCTGACATACATACAGTTTCTGAATGTTTTATTCTTCTGTTAACTTCTTCTTTCTGTGATAAAACACGACGGCTTGATAAAATGTGGAAACTTCTTTTTTTTATGCAGACTGAGGCAACATTAGCTAATAGAGGGAGGGGTGTGTGAGAGGAAAAAAATCCAGGAAATGCCGAAACAGGACAGCAGCATATAGTCCACAACAGGGAGGGGAAATAACGGATCAATTGGTTTATAAAAAGCTACAACTCTAAACAATAACGCTTAATGTATGTTATAGGTTAGTCAAACAAAGGGTTTGTTACTTTAGCTCTGTCATTGTGGCCGATGGTGTTTTGACACATTGTGCACGCCCCGCGGACCTGCTTCCTCATTGATGAAGCTGCTGTCCAGAACAAGATAACATTATTTAGGAAAACATATGTTTACTTTTAACACTCAAGCTGTCAAAATTGTATCTTTTCCCCCCCTCATATTTAATATAAGCTTGACTTGTAGGTCTAGGGAGACTACACTTGCCGGGGACCCATTTCCACGCAACACCCACCGGCTCTGCTAGCTAGCATTAGCTTTAGCATCCCTGGCCGTCTGATTGACTGCAGAAATGTGGTCGCTTTATGAATACAAATGACATGTTATAAATTACACAATCCATTGGTTGACACTTTTTTAATTTCCAAAATGTTATTAACTAAAACATCTCGACAGTTTTAATGCAAATAAATGCATTTAGCATATTCAGCAATAGTTGTTTAATTAAGTAGCCTTACAAAAACAGAACAGGCACAAAGTACAGGTGAACTGTGTGCATACTATAACATGAGGTGGGGTGTGTTTTCTTTCGTGTATTTGTATTTGTTCTTTATCAAAGGCCACATGGAGGACTTTGCTCTTATAACACAAGAGGAGCACATCATGTTCATCTTTCATTTTCAACCAAATGTGTGAGTCAATTATCTATAAACATCATTAAATATTAAGAGAATAACCCGGTAGGTCATCTGGTAGAGTGGTACAATTTGGGACAACATTTGTTCTAAGTTTTAAAGAAAAAAGAAGAAGAAAAAAAAAGCCCAACAGAAGTTGGGTAACTTAAAATGAAACTGGTAAACTGAAGAGTTATCTCCTTGATAAACACTGTTTGTCAAACGTACTTTTAATGAATTAATAGCATTGGTTATCATGAAATAAATCATATTTTTATTACCACTTTACCTTGCACCTAAACAATGTAATTTTAATCTAATTGCACATTTTTCACTTAATATACGTTCAAATTTTATTTTGTAGTCTGATTACATAATCCCTATTAAATTTAGCCTGTTACTACCAATCCTGATCGCATTAACATCAGCGGCTTTGATTTGTTGTAGTCCTGGTCCCTCTGGAGTATGGACTGAACTCACCGACATTGTGTTGGATAACTACTACTTATCTGCTTCTAAAACAATTAAAAAGTTGATGTGTGTTTTTGCTTTATAGCAAAAGGACGGAAAGGCTACACAAAGAAAATGTTCTTTGTCTGAATGTCTTGCCCTCAGGCAGAGAAACCCTCACACAGGCCTAACCTACTTCACACGCCCTGAATGCTGATGGTGCTTTATGCACACATTTGTGCCATATGTCCACATAAGTAGGTCTATGAATTCTCAGTTTTTTCGACAACACGGAACGTGTGTTACAAGATTTCTCTGTTAACCATAAAAGGGATGTTTCCTCCACCTCTGAAGTTGTGGTTAGGCTCTACTTTTGCCTATTATAGAACTTTAATCTAAGGAAAATGTTATGAAAGGCATGATTCCCTGTCTTTACTCATTGCTATATCTGCCCCCACGTCTCTGGAAAGTTGTTTGCTGACAGTTGAGGTGGTCAGCACTTGGCTCAAAACATAGTATGTGGTCACTTTTCTTTGGTGCACTTACGGAAATGATTCCAAGCGTCTTAACTCATGTAGCAGCAGCGTAAGAAGTTTGTTAGTGACTGTGATATGAAGATCTTTTTTGATAGCAACTTATACATTTAGTATCATGTTTGACTCCCACATACACCTTTAGGGGGCCACTCCCTTCCTGTATTGCTGGTGAGTCATCTCTCAGCTGAGGGCAGCAAAGGTAACGTTGGACTCTGGTGCTGCTGTGGCACTGAACATTTAGGTCAAGGGTAGTAAGAGTTTGTGTCCTACTATGATCTAATTTAATCTTCAGGCCTTGTGGAGAAAATCATTTAAACTCTGTCTGAATGAGTGAGGCTGAAAAAGGGAAGTTTATGCATTTCAAAATGTGGCTGTAAGAGTAGTTTTCTGTTGGCCATGAAGAGTGGTTTGGCCTTTTTCTAAAAATGTCTCCTACATTATCAACTCATTGGGTATTAGTGATGCTGCTGACATACTGCCATATTGGTATGACTTCATCTAACAGCCTAAGGGCATACATATTTGACTAACTTTAACTATTTAACCTGCCTCACCCAATGGTGCTTTAAGGTACTGCTTCTAAAAATAGGATAATATTGACATCAGGTTTGTGTGGTATAAATAGATGATATCTCTTTGAACAACTTCTGGTTGGTACATTTAACATTTTGTGTAACATTATATAATAATCCATTTTGAGATAGAAGTTTGTCTTTCTACAAAAGCCTTTGTTAAATATCTGAAGACACATGAACTTTGCATAAATAAAACAAAGTTAATAGCAATTACTGAATAGTTTTCTTTTTCAGCTGCAGTGTTGATGTTTGATACCAAGCCACTTTCTTACGTATCCAAATTAAATTCTTTCCCTCCTGTATTAAGGGAAGTCTCTTCAAGTGTGCCCCTAGCTTCACAGCCAAAGATTTTAAGCGCTCTCTGTCATTAAATATCTAAAGATTTAGACTGGTGTAGTGAAAGTGACACTGTAGCAGCAGCTTTATCTCATGTGGCCTTATTAATGAGAGTGGCTGTGAGCACCATTCACCGTGAGCCAGGTGTAAGTACCTGAGACTGGAGGCACTCCGTCACACGGGCCGAGGCAGCGTCAGGTTACACGCATCTTATGTAACGTGAGTCTTTCTCATTAGTTGTGTGTGTATAAGAAGTTGGTTAATCATGTATTTAAAGGGGTAAGATAGGATAATCGGTTTCCATGTTGGCACACATTCCCGAGTCCCGACTGTGTTGTTTATCTGAGTAAGTGCCATGTTTGTCAGTGCTTCCTTAACTTGAAACTGTCGCTACTGGCCTTACAGTTTGGAAGTGTTTTGCTGTGAAACCGCTCTGCAGTTAACATATTTGGGATACAGGGCAGGTCTGCACTCTGCAGAGTCCGCGGTGACTTGTAGTGATCCACATACCTTTACTCAGCAAGTCCTGACCTGCTTACCAACAC